TGTCAAGTTCTTGGTAGACTTACAACACGCAATGAGGGAGCTGAGTCTTCAGAAACAAGGCAGACGCTGATTATTTCGCACGAGATCAGGTGCATCCTAACTGCATCGTGCTTGCCCTGAGCACTTTTTCTCAGAACATAATATTTCTCATCTTGCTTGTTCGAAATCAATGGAAGCAGCTGATGCAGATAACTTTTTAGAAGAGAGGAAATAAACGGAATAGTTTTGAAGAACGTGATGAGCCTTTCATTCACAGAAGCTCGGAAAATTAGGTGCCCCAGGCGGCAACTCGTTACTGACAGTTCCCTTCCAATTGAAGGAGAGCGTCTTTGTGAAGGTTCCCGCTTCTGGAGGTATTATCCTGTCAGTAGTAGCACTTCTCGGCACCCACCCGCACTTCTCGTGACTAGCCTCCCTTCTCTTAGGTGTTGTAATAATTAAACAAACAGGAACAAAAGAGGCTTTCTTGCATATCAAGGAAACCGTCAATCTCGGTACACGTTCAGGTGTGTAGAACCTCGGGAATAAGACCTCTGGAAAGGGGCCTGAAGGGCTTAGAAATGTCGGACAAGGGACCAGGATCTGCTTAAGGATACGAAATTTATGCAAAAAACCAATTATGGCGAGAAATCTGAGCTGAAATGCTCTATCCTGTTTGTATTCCAACCAACATCAGTCATTTTTAAGACAGCATCTCAAAATAAAACGAAGCTTGCACTTTTTCCAAAAATTCTCCCCTTCATAGTCTCTCAAGTTTGTGTTTTTGGTTGTTATCATACCCCCCTGAACCCTTTCTTGGCCTGCTGAGCTCTGACCGACACCACCATAACACTCTCTGAGGCATAGAGTTCTTCCAGTAACTCCTAACTGAACGTTTTGAAGGATTCCTCCGTTAGTTTTGCTCCTTTGGTTGAGTTCCTGATATCTTGCGTTGCGATGTATGTATTACATTCGTTGTTCAGCGGCATAGCTCGCATTTCTTGAACGCACGCGGGCCAAAGAATAGCGAAATTTTCCCCAGGCATGTTATGAGAAAATACTACGATAACGGTTTTTCCACGAGATCCTCATCAGCTGAGGTGGAAGAGAAAATCGAAAACTGTAACAGTTTCGAATAGGAGCGAGAATAGAGACTAACTTGGAACTACCGTAATCCAGGACAAAGCACTTGAGCTTACATTGAGGTCCCTAGAGGAATGCCTAGCATAGTTCAAGTCGATGGATCACGGAACTACGAGCGTGAGCGATGAATTGGCCAACTAAAATAATCACAAATTTGATGCATTCCATATGTTGAACATCAGCGGATATATCTTTGTGAGAGAACAGCCAGCTTTGATTTTGGGCAAAAGCTTTGTCGAATGCAATCCTTCGCTGTGGAGGGGGTATCTGTTAGTTATGATTGAAAAGGGTCAGCAAAGGTGATCGATCCCCTCGATCCATCGTATGTAAGCATACTTTTAGAAAAGTTTTTACTCCTCTTTTCGAACGCAAAGTACCGTAGGCCGAGGCTAACGCATGAAATCCATTCACTCAGGAAAGTTTGAATGGTCGACTTTAAAAATGACTCAGAGTGGGATAGGCAGTAAAATGTCGGTAGCGTTAGGAGGCGAGGGCAGGGGCAGTGTATTTTTAGTTGGGCGGACTTGCGCCGGTCGGTTCGCCCGCAGCCGCTCTACATCTCTCGGTCATCGCCTCGAGCCTCCTCTCACTCATCACTCTACATCGACACGATCTAGCAACTCAAGCTGAGCTCACCTCCTTCCACAACAGGTATTCACCATGCCTGGAGCTCCACGCTTCACCCAGAAGCCGTCCATCCAACAGACACCTACGGTAAGTGTTTGCTGGTCCTTTTTCGCCAATCACTATTCATACCCCATATATGGCCTCAACTGTCACTATCCCCTTTTCATTTTGTTTGTTCCTCTTCGTGTTTTGATTATTTCCAGCTGTGAGGATCATGACTGTTGCCCTTTCTCTTTCCTTTACTTTCTTGCTCTACTGACTCTTCAACTTTTGTATGCGGCCGGTAAAGTTTCGTCCCAGTTGAACTCCTTGTATAAGCGAAAATTGAAAGGAGATAATGTGTGATATATGTATGTGTGGGGGCGAAAAGGCGCTTGCCAACTGTCTTCCGCTCTTGCGCAACCCGGACGTTGTAATAATAAAACGGCTATTCGCTTCGTGTTTACTTGTTGACTCTTCCCTCTTCGCACGGCAGTTCTTGTGAGGTTTCAACAAATATAAGCACAACAATTACTGAAAAGGTGACGAAACCAATCAGGCCGTCCTTTACAAGGCTCTTTCAAGTGGCAGACAGCAAAAAAGCTGGTCTTGCTCACTCCCGCTGCCACAATAAATCTTCGGCCTCGATTTAAAGCTAACTTTGCTTATATGCATCGTCGGGATCCTTCTTTACAGCAATGTTTTCTGCAGTTTTGAGTTACGGTGATATGAAGTCTCGAGTCATGCGAAGTGAGACAGACAGGTGACTTAGTGTGTGCCATGGATCGAGATCTGAGCCCTCTAAGACATGCAAACCAAATACTCGGCTTAAACCAAATATAATGATGTTACACTCTGATGCAGGCAGAGCCAACAACGTTTAATGACTTGTTACTACCATCTCCTGAATGGCCGAAGGCAGATGTAACGGCTGCAGGGAGTCCGCATGCGTTGCTCCTGATAGACTGCTTCCAAGTCATAAAGGTAGTTCTGATGAGTGAGTACACTTCAATGCTACAGAGGCGCGGGCGGATATTTGCCGAATGGCATGCACCGACCGGCAACGGCGAGGTCCGGCTGCTCTGTCAAGTGTGCTGCTGGGACCGAACCGCTGGTGACACCCACACGTCATCATCGATCATTGGCAAAGCGATCGATCGATGAGCAATCAATGGCCCTTGGCCAATCGGAGAGACGTTCCAGCTGGTTGAGAACCATGAATCGTGGGGAGACCCGGGTTGAAAGGGCTAAGGTGTAGAGTTTGCAGCTGACGATTGTCAAAGCCAATCAATTGGCTCACTTGAAACTTCACGACTTTTTTTCGCTCACTGGGACTTGATGAAACGGTAAACCAACAAAGCAGCATCGAATGAATCGAATAATTTCGAAGCTGGGAGGGGATGCTAGGGGATCGAAAGTGCTGCCCTTTTGAATTCACCCCTGTGGGCTTTGGCTAAGAAAGCATTCGATTCATCCTTGGATTCGCCCAGGTATTGAACTGCTCTTAGACATGGAGGTCAACCAAATCTTGAATTCGTCGATCACTTTGAGCCTGATACCTTCAAATGAGTTGGCAATAATGGAAAGGAGCTCAATGCCCAGCACATTCAAAAGGTACCCCAAATCGAGGCTTTATCCTTACGATGGAAAAGTTGAAATGCAGTTCAACGTCTCTTTTTTGAGAATACTATCGAAATAAAGCGAAAAAAGGAAGTTTTAACATAAACATCAGTATAAACAACAGTGGAATTTAGTGTTGACTGACGGAATATCTCATCAGACTGAAAAGGAAGGAATTGTACTCAACGTATTGAAAATAGTGAGATCCAGTAAAAGTGAAGTGGGGTTCTCACAAGAAATTGAACCTATGAGACCTATTTGCAGGCACAGGAGGTGTAGTGGCAAGTGGCGCACTTCACATAGGCATGGTTAGGGCTTCAAATCCCAGATCGATGTCTGCCCAGGCCAGCCAAGGTTTCCATCCCTACGGGGTCGATTAATTTGTACCATATTTGTCTGGGAGGATAAAAGCACTGACTTGTGCATCGGCTGGCCACCGCAAGTCATTGTATAAACCACATACGCATTCAATACCCCACTTCGAATCTGAATGGAAGTCGGTTGCGTGGGCGCACCACTCAACGGGATTGATAAACGCCCCAGGACTTTATCCTTTATCCCTTACTTTATGGGACCTATTCATGGGAACTTAAGGGAATTGTCACGAAATCAATTGGCTATACAAATCGGCGTAATAGCGAATATTTAAATGTTCCTTGATAGTCCAGAATTTCTGCGATATGGTGCAAATCGGTGTTGGCTCGGGTTGATGTACGCAATGTTCACGATTATATAATCGACGCCTTATGAAAATCTGTTGTTTCGAGCTATCAACTGTGCCTGATGTCCTCAGACACTTCATTGGCTTTTATGACACATGAACGTCCCATGTAAGCATCAGCATCCACAGGAATGCTAGAAACTGTGTACCTGGCATTACTTCGCACAACTTGAGCTGGTCTAGAGGTGGAAAAGTAGGCAAATATTGCGAACACAAGTATCTCGAGAAAAGATCCTGCAATGAAGAAGAATCCCGCTCATAATAGTACCATCGGTGTCTTTGAGACGTGAATGTCCATGGCAACAAAAAAACGAGAAAAGGCGACGGCAATACTGTGTAGAGCCGACCCGTAGTTGAAAGGACATCCTCATTGGAGGACAGCGAATCCTCTGCAGCTTTATTCCAGGAAGAAACGTTCCGGCCCTGCATTCTCTATCGCAGATTCCAAGCTGATCCAGCTGAGGCTATAACTATTAGCCACACAAAGCACTTAAAAACAGAGGAAAGGGCAATTTCGCACAGATGGACGAGTTCACCTCTCAACAAGCGCTCGAAATGGATCGTTCTAGAAGTTCCTAAGTCAAAACGTTCCTGCTAGTAGGAGAAAGTTAGGGAAGATTATAGTAAGACAAAAAGTGAAGTAGCTCTATGAAGTTGACTTGACAAACTGCTCGAAAACGCTACTTCCCTAAAACACTTTGACAGACATTTTCGTGTTATTCTCTATTAGATTTCTGAGATTTCACTCCGTGGAATCTAGTGATTTTTCATGGGGCTGATCATGATCTTCTTAGTGATGTCAAGGGATTCGCTCCTAATATTCTTCTTCTTTCCCACATAGTTTCCGCTCTCTGCTCTGTTTACCTCATCTCGGGCTACAAGGAGATATGCCTAACACCTCAGGGAATACTGTTCAAAATGAATAGCAATCATGAGAAGAGACAGACGGCCCAATGGCACGACAGAAATTGAAGTCGTTGGAGTTCTCCGACCGTCTACGTTGGAAGGACTGAGTAGAAAGTATTTGGTGTTAATCCAATTTTGTGGTGTCCTGAGGCTTTCAACTCAGGTTCGGAACCGTATGCAGTATCTTCAGTAGGATGGGAAGCATAGTCCTTCAGCCACCATCAGCCCTGATTTGGTTAACCATTAGACGACAACGCGGATTTCGACGTGACGCGCCCACGGGACCACGCTCCCTTCCTTTCGCGCCACCGATGGGTGGCAGAAAATTCTCTCATTGGCTGACTGAATTTAGCAATTGATAAGGAATGGTGGCATCTCAGAATTGGGTGCCAATGTCCCATGAGGCGGTCATTGTGGCACCCACCGGTGGGTGCCATTGTCGTCAAAGGGTTAAATGACTTACATAGAGTATAACTCCACTTAGCGATGCCTTTGCCATGCACCACGCATGATTACGGTAATTGCATATTAGGATTCCTTGATTCTCTGTTTTTCTTTTTTGGTCCCTGTTTGTACATAAAAAACACCTTTATTAGGTTTCCAGTTTCCTATGTTGATATAATACGATTTCCAGGGTGACCTGTTGATGGAATGTCTTCTGGAGGCGGATCCCCCGCCTACAATAGCTTGGCAGCATGCTGGAAATGTCATATCACCGTCATCTCGAGTCACACAAGTGCTCAGTCCTCTGGACGGCATTCTATATAAGGCAAACCTCATAATAAAGGTGTGTTCACTTTTCTTNTTTTTCAAATTGAATAACATTTAACATCTGAATCTTATTATTCTACCACACCTAATGCTCTACTTTTCTTGAAACTCCACTGATTTTTCTCTAATTATCAAAATATTTCAATCGCCCAAGAACGTGAACGAGATGATTGCCTTAATCGCCTTATTAAATACAAGGCTCCTAATGTATCCCATTAGTTTCCGTTGCATTTTGCTGAATTATCGAAAGACGCTTGAGAGCTCTTAGGAGATTCGTTGACACTAAGTCGTGGTCTCTACAACGACACTTCTCCACCAAATTCAGTTCTTCAACAGAGCTCGCTCAACTCTCAAAAGCTTCTCGCTTGCTATGCTTTTGCTACAATCAAATGCGCAGAGATGCAATATGGCTGCCGTTTCTAAGTAACTTCTTCCATGTTTTTAGACATCCATCTTGCAATTGAGCCATCGCCCGCTTGATTATCATTATACGCATCATTATCATTGTACGCATTATAAGCAAACTCTTCTAGAAGTTCAGTGTTTCCTGTCATGAGTCTCCAAGTTTATAGCTCCTATCTGCCCTCCGCTGGGGAGGATGTCGCATCCTCGCATTTTCATGCGTAGGCCTTGAGTTCCGTCATAACCCTTTTTCACTTCTGGTGTTCCATCTCTGAATAGTAGGACTGTTGGGCAGTGCTGAATAGTGGCCTGTATTACGGCAGTAAATTTCGTTAAAAGTTTAGTTTGTTTTTCTTTTTTTTTCTTCTTTTTTATTCCCCTTAACATTTTCATCTATAGTCTACAAGTGCCCTTCATGAAGACAGTATTCTTTATGGCTTTCGATTTTCCTTTGGTTCGCCTCATTTCGCTATAACTCTTGCGGACATACGGAATGAAAATGGCACCTGTTTTCTCCCAGGGATGTCTATGACCATATCATTTCGCTTCATCCACTTCAGTTAACAAGGACCTCTACGGAGTCTACGATAATTTCGTGAATTCATTCACATCCTCTCAGCATTCACCCACCTTCTCTGTGGGATTCAAACGTCACTTTTGATTTGTAATAATCATGTAATCATCAAGCGTCATCAACGATTGGAACTCTCTCAGTGGGTGTCGAAGAAACGATTACCCCGGAGGGAACATACGCGAATTCTTTCACAAGTTCTCAATCGTAGACACTTGTCGCTGACTTTAAACAGGGTAGCCTCCTGAACAAGCCTCTTCTTTGGATGAAAGGTGATATATCATCTTCAAACAACACTGAAGCCCTAGTCTGATTGTAGGAATTGAATAAGATCTCACATGCTTCGTTTCTTCGAGCATCAGAGTCCTAGAGGTCAGGCTCGCGTGGTGGTTATTTTATCCCTTTTGCCTTTCACAAGAAATTTACATACGCACTGGGAAATGTCTACAACGATCTGAAGATTGGCTAGCCTTTCCATGTAGTCACACTACCCACATGTATTTCATTGCTGTTTAGAAATCTTGGAGGACACCAAATATGGCTCGTCATGTTGAACTTGATCGCTTTAAAAAAAATCCTTTATTGTAAAACATTACGGTCATTGATCTTGCCTCGTCTGCATCGAAAGAGATTCGGAGCAATTCAGTTTCACCGCAGCAACTCAAAAATACTTCATTTCGAGTGGACTGTAGAGGATCATATTGATGGCGACACGCTTCTGTCTTCCTTAAGGATAAGCGGAGATCTCTCACATCCCCTCGGGATCGATTCGTTCTCGATCGCCCCTCCAAAGGAAGTTTCTCAAGCTTCAATGGAACCGTTCGATATACTGTTCTTGGACAAGTTTTCAGTCCATTATGACCGTTCGCGATCATCACCTGCTACATCCACTGAGCGATCAGTCCAAGTCGTTTAGCAGAGGTCCTGAGTAGCTCTGCCTACAAAAGGGGTTCCCTTTCCGCAGCAAGAAAAGTTAAGCACATTTTGAGTCGCTTCTGTATCGTGATTGATACTTCCATCATGGTCATCGAAAATTGATTTTTGAAGAAAACATTGTAATAAAGAAGCTACGAGTGGTGTGATAAAGTCGAACCTATAGACTTTCCGTTTTCTTCTCGTCCAATCTCACGGACGATGCAGAGGAACCTAAACATTTTTGTACCCTTTTTTTCAAGGTATTACCTCATAGACAGATTTCCACCTAGAACTCATCTTTCCAATACAGTCTTAGTTTTCCTGAAAATTGTATAACTGAATCATGATCCTTTCAAGGAGCCGAATGCAGGAGATGGCGGTGCGTACAAATGCACAGCAAGAAATCAGTTGGGCGAATCAAACGCCAATATCAACTTGAATTTCGCAGGTGAGTGAGACAACAGTCTTTGTCTTTAGTTCGATTATACTAGTGTATTCAGGAGGTGGTGATGAGAATAAGTCGAAGGGACCGTCATTCGTTGGAAAACCACGAATCATTCCAAAAGATGGCGGAGCCTTGATAGTAATGGAATGCAAAGTAAAGAGTCCCACGCCGCCCGTTGCAAAGTACGGTAATTCCCTTTATTTAAAGCCTTCATAGGGATAATTTTTCTTCCTTTCCAGATGGTTAAAAGATGGCGTACCGCTACAAATGGGCGGTCTCTATCATGCTATTTTTGTTGACCTTGGCGATCAGACATACTTATGTCAGCTGGAAATCAGGGTATGTACACTGTTATGATGGATTGCAGACCACAGCTACATATCCGCCTTGATTCCAGGGTCCATCGGCTTCTGATGCCGGCCAGTACCGTTGCAATCTCCGAAATGAGCAAGGAGAGACAAATGCCAATCTTGCCCTAAACTTCGAAGAACCCGATCCCAGTGAACGGCAAGAAAAGAAGGTAGGTGGCATATCAAAAAACGATGGAAAATATTAAGCTGCGGCCTTTCTACGAAATTCTTCCTCTTCTATTTTCGCCTTCAGTCCGCTACAATCAACTGATTCATTGTCACGACTTGAGATTTGCTGACGTATCCTATTACCACACTCCCCTTTATATTAGTATCGACCTCGTGGAATGCTCTTGGGGAAAGCTAAACAACTGCCTCACAATTACCCCACAGTAAACATAATGTCTCGTGTCACACAAAATGTTTTCAGAACGGACGGTAGTTAAAGGTATCATAAATTTGTTTTAAGAGTCGCCGATCCCCGTCAGAGAAGAGAAAAGACACAGCATCACCTCGGCCCCCATCCAGAGGTAACGGTTCTCGCCCTGGGAGTCCCAAAAAATCCCTCAAGTCCCGAGAGGGTACTCCCAAGAGAGGAAAAGGCAGAGAAGGATCACCTACTAAGAAGTCGATGAGGTGGGTCTTTCAATATGAGAAGGGATCTAAAGCTGAGCACGATGATCTGTTGTAGGTCCCGAACATCGACTCCGGTACAGGAATCCGCTAATACCCTTGCACCTGAAGATGCAGCTGCAGCCGCAGATTCGCGAAGGTCTAGTAAATCTGAAAAGATGGAGGTCGATTCAGGTCTGTTTTACACTCTTTGATTTCCAAATTCAATGATTCAAGTAGCCGTTTGCAGCCACAACTAAACGCAAACCTGAGGGTCTACCTGTCCCACCCTCTACCGATGAAAAGAAGATGCGAACGTCATCTCCTGTACCACCTTCTGATGATCAAAAATTGCGTGCTGCTTCACCAGCACCTCCCGCTTCAGACGAAAAGATGGAGCGTTCGAAGTCCCCAAAGCCTGAGGAGAAGAAAACTCGCGCTAAATCTCCGCTACCACCTCCTTCAGAAGAAAAGAAGGCGCGTTCCAAATCTCCAGTGCCACCTACGTCAGAAGATGAAAAGAGGAAAGCTTCGAAGTCTCCGGTACCTCCGGAACCAAGCGCTGCTCTTTCAAGCAAAAGAGACAAGTTCACTCGACCGCCTATCGTTATGGAGGCGATTCGATCGCAGGTGAGAATGCTTAAGAGGGATTTATGTCTATGCTATGGCTATGACAGCGAGCTCATGCGTAGATTGCTTGGTGTGCTGACGATCATCAGTGTAAAGTAATGCTATGTCCCCGCTCAGCACCTCAACTGCCACCATACTCCTCGCTTTTCGAGTTTCTCACTAGGGGCTGTACATATCATGGGATTTAGACAATCGATGACTTACTCGGGAGAATAGAAATAGGACTACATGCAGATCCAGGGTAGACTTTGAGGTGATATTTTACAGTGGTGGTGATGGAATGCGTCCGTCGAATGCCTTTACATTCTTCCTTCACCCTAAAAACCAACAGTTATTGAGGATATCGACCAAAATTACCAAACTGACGTCGATATTATCACCCGTTATCAACAACTCTTATCGCTTGTGATCCTCGGCGATCAAACTAAGGGTGGCCATGAATCGCTAGCGAAACTCACACTTACAGATTCCGGTTGATCCGACATTTAGTAGGACAATATGACATCAACTTTCGAACTTTTTGATAGACGTAATAAACTAACAGAATCAAGAACCCGGCCAATCCACCCGAATCGATATCACTTGATGAGTTTCGCTGCATTATCAGAGAGTCGACGAGGATTTTTCTTACAACAAAAGGCTGAGTGGCATTGATCAGGGGCCGTCGACGTTGCCCTGGGCATAAGCGCCTAGGTCAAGAACATTTGGGGATGATGCATTAGAGAGGCAGTCATAGCAATAACAAAAAAAAAAGGATCACCTGTAACTCCAGAAAAAGAAGTGCCTCATTTCAGACCGGCAAACCGGGCGATACCATTCATTTGGAAGTGGAATGGCAATGCCATACGTCGACTGTCATTGAATGGTTCAAGTGAGTTTCGTCATAATTTCTGCAAGGATGTCGCAATACTCTCAGTACAGTGCAAACACTGGGGGATGATTTATGCGGCTGCGATGCTCGTGATGATATTTTTGTTTTTATCCCGCTGCTAAAGTTTATCCAGCGAGAGCAGTAAAGTTGTAAGACATTGTAGTCCTCCAAGTAGATTTGGGGGCTCAAACAATCCCATGTTACGGTAGCAAGCGAATGAATCTTCTCCTGCCCACTTCTCTCTATCTAAGCTGGAGTTATACAACTCAAAAGCTAGTTTCTTCCATTACCGAGTACATGTTGTGAACAGCTGAATTTGGCAAGTGTTGAAATTGAGCGAGGATCAGCTGCAGAGCATTCTGAAGATGGGCTATTCATTAGCTCATAGTAAAGCGATCATTTCAAATGATTGGAATTGGGAACAGAAGTACTTTAAAGGTACAGTTTACGAATACCTGTATCACCTTCGCCCCGTTGATCATCGAGTTCCTCAAGTAACGTCTCTATTCGTCCCTCCCGTGAGCCACAGTAGTCCAGTGAATCGTTATCGCTCGATGGACTCGGTGGAAAATATTCCTTTCGTTCAGAGCTTTTATGAAGAAGCCTGACCATTGGCGGGAATCCACAATGATTTCGGATTATCTGGTTTCGGGCGAGTAACGGAAGTGATAGTCCAAGATAGTGCGGAAGTGGCGAAGAAAACGCAAAGTTGGTCAAGGCCTGAAGAAGGATCAAAATACGGGGTTGAACGTTCAAATGTGCGCGCCATGGATGCAATACGCTGCCTGCGTGCAAAGCGTGGGTCCCGATGCGAATGGTGCAACCTCTCCAGTTTAGCCAGTTCGGAGGCTCTTTTACGCCCTACCTATACAGTTTTTTGAATGGACAGTGTCCTTAGGCTATCCTTGGAGGTCACAGATTCATCCAGGGAGTAATCTCAGGAACCATTTTTAACGCGAATTGTGCCTTCAAGTGAAAAGATAGCAGGTGAACAAAGAGGGTCATAAAAATCAATTTTGAAGAAGGTCTCTGCATTTTCTGAGATGAAAGTCAGTGTGGAAAAGGGAAATAGTAAAAGTTGTTGAAGTTCGGTCATTCCGGATCCGTATGTTACTGTCTGGTAATTCAGAGATGGCAAGAAGCTGCAAATGACGGACGACTATCGTGCGACATTCGATGGTGTCAAAGCTCATCTGACAGTGAGGAACTTGACAGAGGACAAGACTGGTCTTTACAAATGCCACGCCGTCTGCGAGTATGGTGAAGGCCAGAGCAGCGCGATGGTCAAAATGGAAGACCTTGGTAAGAGCTCATCGTTCTAATTGTTTTGATTGAGCTGGATGCAATCGCTTTCAGATGAAAACTTGCTGAAGAAACAGAAACAGGAACAACAGCCAAAACAGTCGCTGGGTGTTAAGGAATCCGACGACGAAACCAGTATTTCTTCAATTGCGTCGAAGAAAAAGATGAGCAAAAGCAAAAGCCCTGTGAGTAGCATTAACACATTCGAATAATCAGTTTCAAGTATTCCGCCAGGGGTTCGCCCTGGCGAACTTTGACCCGCATTTCGTTCTCTTCAAACTTCCATCGAGTGGGGGAAGAATATGGAAATTCAGCTTCTATAACAATACCATCACACAAAAAATTGCCATTTGAAGACATGAGAAGGGTGGTGTAGTGGCGAGGCGCACTTCACACACGCATGCATGGTCACGGGTTTGAATTTCGGACATATCCGCCTAGGCCAACCATGCCTTCCATCTCTCCGAGGCTCATGATAGGTACAAGACTCGTCTGGGAGGACAAGAACACTAACTTGTACCTCGGCTTGGCTGCTGCAACTCACTGTATAAGCAACATACGCACTCATTACGGCACTACGATTCTGAATGGAAGTCGATGGCGGGGGCGCATCCCTCAGCGGAAATGGTTAACGCCCGAAGACTTTAGTTTTTTGTAAGTCATCAGAGGTAGGTTGCTTCAGTAAAATACCACAGTTGGTACGACAGAGATTCTCATTCTGATTCTATACTGGTTCCACAGCTTACTGCCATGCCATCAGCAAGAAACAGCATGAGAATCTCTGTCACATAGTAGGAAAAAGAGTGATTCTTACTCTGTGGTGACAAGATTTTGGCTTAAGGTTCCTAAAAAAGTAATTTCGGTAGATGGCTTCCAATATTCTGGACTGTTCACTTAAACCAGAGCTGGCAAATCTTTCCTGAAACATTTTTCACCGGCTTGTCCCTTTCAACTTTGTCGCATGCACTTCCAAATGAAGGCAGAATGGCTTGTGTTCCTCGGAGAAAAATGGTTGATGCTGAGTGCTTTGTGATTATGCCTTACTGGATTCTAAAGACAAAAGATTTCAATTTCGATGTCTTCGGCGCAAAAAAGTTGAAAGTGGAAAGGAGAAAACCCCAGGCGGAACTCACCCCGTTAGTGCTTTGACGGCTCGAGCGGTTCTTGCCTAGTTCCGGGGCTGATTAAAATGTGATCATACAGATAGATAACTCAATCAACATGGCTTTACATACTTCATCACTATGCAGTGAATACCTTCGAATGGGGAAACGTCGTTGAATTGAAGTCGTTTACCAAGGGCTGCGAAATTTCGGAACCATTACCCTAAAAAAAGGGCAATCAGCAAAAATGGCGCTAAACATATGGCCACACTCTAGCAGCACTCGTGCCAAGGCATCAGATTCACCTCAATTCAGTCCAACAGTCTGAATTTTCTTAGTGTGAAATTGGAATTGAAAATCTATCATATAGTCAGTTTAGCTAATGGGAAATACACAGTTTTTCATAACCATAATGTCATGACGGATACTGTGGAAACTTCCTGATGGTGAGAGCCAACCCCAAACGCTTTTCATTGCCATCGGGCCAATAGGCCAGTGTGGCAGTGCTGGCCCCCAAAGAAATTGGATTCTTCGGCATCGTCTCGCCAACTGATTTAGGTGTAGCTCGGTCCACTTTTTAGGGTTTGAAGAAAAGCTTGGTTTGTAAGTGAATGCTCTGGTCTACAGGAGACTTTCTCACAAATATGAGAACCCAGAAAGATGTAGGAGCGGAGGATTACATATTCCGGGAAATAGTTGCTAGTTTTATGTGATGACTGAACTGTGAAGGAATTCTGTCTGTTTCAGGCGCCACAAGAAACAACACCCAAATCGGAGCCGGTACGTTATTCGTTTCATTCACTATTGACTTTGACTGCAACGTTTGATTTCATTCCATCATCATTCGATGATCTGTTTAGAAGGCGGCGGATTCGTTACCAAAGCAGAAGGTGGAAACGGTGGATCCCGATGAGGTTTGTTATTTTTTTTGTGTCGGTCGAAGGTAGTCTTGTGTGAGTAGTAGCCGCATATGACGCGAATGACGATGGGCTAAATCGTAATAGGTATTTTGTAGCATGACCGATATTTATCTGAAAACTTCATCCATAAACTTTCCTTTAGTCGTCCTTTTTGATCTCGTATGATTGGTAGGATTTGGAGGTCAGTGGACCTGAAGGCACAGTTCACGTTAGAATTGTATCCGAGATTTCTCCCCAAAATGAACCTGTGAGCCCTAATGATAGCCGAAGGGACGCTGTTGGGTCGAGAAACATTCGATAAAGGGCGTAATAAGGGACCTCGAAACCGGCTTAGCCGATGTACACACCCAAGGTGGACGAGCTGTTGAGCGTTGTGAAAGCTGTAGAGGATGCACAACTCTCGTCGGGACCCACGCCTTGCACGAAGGCAGCGTATTGCAGCCAACTGTATGCAGTGGCGCCCGCGTTCAAACAGCTCGTCCAAATATCTACTTCATGCAGGTTTTTTCGACAAATTCTCGTCCAACTTCTAACTTTTAATTTTGCTTCTTCTCTGAACCCTTATATTTCTCTTACCACGCCGATTTTTGCATTATCTTCGCCACCTTCGCACTGTTTTGGACTATCACTTCCTTTACTCATCTAAAACTGGTGACCCGAAATTATCGTGAACTGTGCGCTTAGGACTTGGCCCGCTTTCCTTGTTTCCTCTTCTCCCACATTCGTTACAAATAATCCGCTCATACATCTGACTTTACGGCGACTTCGTTTTGCACAGTCGTGTACCGTGCACACGTAGGCTTTGCACTTGATGTAATGACCTCCAGAATAAACAAAGACGATCTGCAGCCGGACACTTTGGCGAAAGTGACCTTCTGGTACATCTGATCCAGCCTCGGAATAGCTTGAGATCACGGTCCTACGACTGTTGTGCTTCCTCCACAACTGTACGTGAAGGAAAATTTTCGGGACGAATTTCTCCAAAGCATAAGTGAGAGTTCCGACAACAAACAAAATTTTTATTCCATTTAGTATTCTCTTTTCGTTGCTCTTAGAATTTGACAGCGGAAATGAACAAGGAGTGAGTGAAGGCCTTCTCAATCTAAATCATGTCTACTCAGAGCCGCAAGTGAGGTATGGTCGGAGCGAGCTGGGTCGATAACGACTAGTTGATTTCTGATGATCTCATCCCTAGCTCTGGTAAGCGGGAAAGAAACCAGCTGAGAAATGAGGAGGGAGAGAGCGCGGAAGGGGTGGATTGTGTGAGCAAATATCTGATGCCAACGGAAGTATCATATGCTTCAACTTCTCGTGCCCCCTACCTCGTTCTTGCCTTTGTTTCGGCAGATTTTAGAGATCCCAAGGTTTTCATATCCCCTTGTACAGCTAAGCACGTCGTAAACAGTTCCTGTGAAAGAGAAGAGTCTTCGCAGGACGTTAGATATGTCATTTATGTCGCAAGGAAATCATATGACCATGAATGGGAATCTTCTTCCGGCAGTTTACGATAGCAATACTACCAGAATAGTAACCCGCGTGGTAAAACGGTCGACGGCACGAAGACCAAGCAATCGCTCACTCACGTGCGGCGCAATACTGCTATCTACTCGATATTTGTTTTGTTCTTGAGAATCGAACCCTTTTGTTTGTCAGTTTTATGATGCAGGTCCTGACGTTCTCTGGACTTCTCTTGAATTTCAACCAAAAACAAACCTAAATATTTAGATCCTCGTTGAGAATGGATGAACTCTTTTGTTTGTTTGTCGGTAAAAAATGTGCGGTGATCCTAGCCCCAGCCCACAGCCACGAAGATATTGCCTATCACAGAAACGGTACTTGAGAGTCAAGTGCTTCAAACCATAACTCTTGCAGGAGTCTCAAGCGGACGACATCCCATCATCGGGACTGACAATCCCCGAAGAGCGACGACGTGAATTGCTCGGTGAGACCAGCGAAGACGAGATTACAGAGTCTATCTCTGAACTGCCTTCGATTTCTGGGCCACGGGTAGGATTCAAAGGACTCCCAGAGGTTCGCTTTTGTTGTTACCTCACTTGTAACTCCCCATACTCCTAAAATGTTCTTGTTAGCGCCTCTATTTACGTGATACGTGAGGAGTTTCAAAAACGCGGCGAGCGGCTGCCGTCGAGTGCCGCTGAAGCGTCGAGTATTTGTCGTCGTTGTGAACAGTTTTGTGTCTTCTAACTCATCGGCAAACACTGATCGCCGCTTCCTCTTGCTGCAGTCTCATTGTGACTTACTCCCCTGCATCGTTGTGATGACCCGTGCGACTGTTCGCTGCTGTGCTTGTATACTGTATCGGTTACTGTAGCGTCCCTTGTTCGTGTATGTTGTCGTGTTGTGTTTCAGTGTGTACATATTTCAGAGTAATTCGAAGGACCATCAGATAGCGAGTGCATCAACAGATCCACTCAACGTGCAGGTCCCTTTCAGTTTGTAAATTACTGTGTGCTTGTCCAGCATTAACTCCCATTTCAGCAGATGAGCTCGGAAAAAGTGCTGTCCAGCGGCCGGCTTGCGCCCCCTTTCGCACGTCGGCCGTATATGGAAGATCTGAGCATGGACAGTGCAATGTCAGACTCTCTCGATAGGAGCGACTCAATGTCGAGTATACCCTCCATAGACCCGGATCCTGAAAGCGCAATGCCGAAGCGGAAGAAGGTGACCAAGACCAAGTTAATCAAGAAGGCCATCTCGGCTAATGACAAAACTTCGACAACAGAAGGCGGCGGCGGGGTGGCCAAAAAGCCACCGGAGAGCCCGATGGTGAAGCGCAAGCCGAAGACAACTCCTACCCCAGCCACCGAAGGCGATGTATGTTGATGTGTTTGTTGTTGTTCGTCTCTTTGTCCATGGAATAAACTCACTGGCCTCAAAATTTTTACTAACACTCTCTTTTCAGGAGAAGCACTTTGGTTTTTGTAAATTTTCCTTCATTTATTGCATGAACCAGCAGCTATTGGATCTGTGGATTGATGGCTGGTTTGACAAGTAGATGAGTGTGTCCTTCGTCTCCCGTTTCTCTGAAAGACTGCTATGTCTTTCAGAGCACTAATTCATATCAAAGAGTCATTTCTTGAGATCTATTGTAATATGGATTTGTTTGAATAATTCAGCCATTTTGAGAATGCTACATGCCGTAGTTCTCAAATGGAGAAGAAAGTTGTCAAATGACTGATTTCCCTGAGTAGGGTTTGATTTTGTGACAGCGGTCCAAGATCCCTTTGTCAGTGAGCAGTCAGCGTGCAGATCTCCCAGTTTGCTACTGATTTTGACAGATGTTGGGTCCTATTTGGCAGCTTTCAATACTTACTGTCATCCCTCTTTTTCATCTTCATCTAGAGCACCTTTACTTACACTCAGTGGACGAGTTTCCTGTTTTCCTATCCCTGTTACTTGTCCAACTCCCTTTGTGATCACCAACTAAAAGGGTTTTCCATCCACAATTTTCCCCTTCACTGTGTGCGACTCACCTACAGCCTTTCCTCTGATTGCAGGGTGAGAAACCGAAGAAAGCCCATCGGCGTAGCGAAAGCGACGGAGCACCTCAAGTACGGCAATTTGCACGCTGCATTTCCTTTTTCTTGTGTGGCCATGCCTCTCACTAAGCACTAACAACAGCACTCCCTGCAAACTAATTTATTTATTCAAAGTTTTTTTCACATTTATTAATATTTTTCGAGTGTTTTCTTCGAATTCCTTCGAGCAATTTTTAGCAGCGACAAGACGGCAGACAGTCCGAAAGTGGCATTGGGAGCAATCAACTGAAACCACGGCAGCTCCTGAAAAAATCCAGCCTCCCAGCAATACCGCAGGATGACAAAAACAGCTTCTTAAACGTTAAACTTAAGAAAACGCAAAAAAATCAGAAACAGGAGGAAAACCCTCTTGCTAGCGTGAAGCTGAAGCCAGTAAACCGTGAGGATGATATTAGCGAGGCGTCTGGAAGCGATATGGACTCATCTCGAAGGGACTCCCTTTCTCAGATGGATCCATTCATTCGCAGAGCCAGCGAGTTCAGGCGCGATTCACTTGTGAGCGACCGAGATTTGCTTTTATTCTTCTTCATTTTATCTATTGCATGTGGGGTTAGCTTTCATTGCGCTTTAGTTCTAACTTCACCCTGGTCGCTAGCTTACACATCATGTGTGCCTAACACAGTAGAGTAGTATTTCAAAGAATCTAAACTAGTTTTTTTAGCGCAGAGGCAGTGTGGACATGCGTCGCGAATCGGTTCAAGAGATCATGAGTAGGGTAATCACCCCACTCATTCCATCCGGGCAGAAAGGCAAACCACCAAGAATCGTTGAAGTCCCAGAGAACGTTACCGTCGTAGAACGTGAGTCTTTTGATGTTGGTCATACTGTTTCTTCCGTTACACGCTTGTGAAATACAGGGCAACCGTTCAAAGTTACAAGGTTCGGGAACGGTGGAGCAGTACCTGGTGGGATCGATTTTTGGAAGGGCATCTTGTAACGAAATGGGTGGGAAATGAGATAATCTCACATTTTTCGGACCTACAGTTGATAAATTGACAAGCTTTTGTCTGTGAAGGAGAACCGTAATGATGACAATGGTGGTGCTTGCACAAGGTCATGTGGGAGCTCTTCATGGGTATCCTTGATTGTTCCTTCTACAAACTTTGAAATTTTAATTATCTGTAATTCCACTCCCCTCAGTTTTAATGATCGTTTCTCCTTCTTCATTGAATAGACTCCTACATTAACTTGCAACAATCTGCGGCACATTTCTAGCAAGTTTTTTTTCACAAAATATTTCCTTTTTTCACTTTCCATCAAAAACTCAGTTCTAAAGTTCCTTCTCTCTCCAGCGTTTTTTGTCCCGATCACTGAAGAATAACCAATTTCTGTGACAATTTTTAACCACTTAGCGAAATAAGTGAGGTCAAACCGCTGGAAATCTTTTATGAACTGGCAATACTACCCTCTCTCCACGGCATAAGCTGTCTTTTCAGAACACCTTCAGTCATTAACCTTCAATGAAGTGTGACCAGCGCTTTCCCTTCACTTTCCTACCATACATTCTCGGAAGCTCAAAGCATGTTTATTAAGAATGTGCTCGACTGTGATTGTGAAAGCTTCTGGATTAGTCACGAAGTGGGGCTGTACGTGGTTTCAGGGAATGTACGAGTTACGTGGAGTATCACTCGTCTGCACTGTAACATCATTGCGGAGCAGAGAGGCACCTCTTGCTGATAACGAAAAGAGAGCACACAATCTAATCAATTGATGAACAAGTTGAGATTGCTCACGCAAATCGAATGGCGCTTGGCTGGCTGGTGGGATAGGCATTTGTGGCATTTATAGGGGCCAACTAATTCGTTCCCAGGTTTCCTTCCACCTTGAAAAAGGCCGCGCGTCACCCCGAACTAAAAGAACCGCATATCTCCTCTGCAGCCCTCTGACACAAAATTTGACGTCTAGAAGACGTATAGAAAGCAAGCTTGTGTTGGAAAGAGGAGAACGCATGGTCTCATAGGAAGAAGTCAAAAGGAAACGAGGAATTGGTCTTATTTATCGAAGTTGGGGTAACATACCAAGGCAGCGAAACTATAACTCGTATGAGAACAAACTCCAAGACCGTTTCCCCTAGGCTATCACAGAACCGTAACACGGTGCATTCAACAAATACTTGCACCTTTAGGTATAACATTCTCAGAACATGGAGGTACCTGGTGACCTTCCAAGACTTCAAGGGCTAGGAATAGAGATAGGCGGCCTACCGAATGGTCCCACCTAATCAGCTTATGATAACTTTGTTAAATGATCCTACTTCCCGACAACTCTAAGATTGCCATTAAAGGAGAAGTTTTTTCAGAGGGCAGTCTGAAGGAGGTTTCCCTGTAAGTTCTCCAAAATGACTTCTCCAGAAAAGCAATGCGAAAAGATGCTATCCTACCTGCTCTATATGAAGCAGACGTGACTTTCTGAGACAGTCATCACTCGTTCACAGTCGCCGATCACAACCGCATTCTTCTTCTCTTCCCCACTCCCCAAATCTTCATAGAAAATTGACAACATTCAGATCTCTTTCCTCTACTGAACTAGGAATTGGGGAGCATTTAAAGGCCATCATCTCTGGCTTGTGGGTAGAAGGGGATATACTGAATAATATTTATGTAAATTTTTTGTCAAAAAGTTAGAAACTCCGAAATTCCCATGCACTCTGTAGAAAATGAGATTTCCGGTATTGCTTGTAACTGGTGAATGCTATCGCTTTGCTCAATTTTATCAGCGTCTAATAGATTTTTCCACTCCAGGGCACATTCATATCAGAGCGTCCCCAATTTTATCATGCCAATTTAACTAAGTGAATAGGTAGGTTTATAGTTTACTAAGAAGTTCACAAAGGATGTAGTTGCGTTCCTGTGGCGGCGGTTGGGTGATGTGAGTGTGTGTAACAATGTGGGCGAGGCACTTCGAGAATGGCCCTTGAAAACCTACGCGGACCGCGATCTATCAATGTGTTGACTAGAGGAACGTTTACTGCACTCAAAAATTCACTTTTTCATCCAACAAATGGTACAATCTATCATGACCTCGGAGTCAGCAGTTATACTCTTTAACCTAGCAGTGAGTGACGTAAACTTCTTGAATTCCAGAGGAAACAGCAGTGTTGCAATGCAAAGTGGAAGGCGATCCACCCCCAACGGTCCGTTGGTCGAAAGGCAATCGAGAAATCATGAACGGAGGTCGATTCCGGCATATGACCGACGGAGAGACAAATACCGTATCACTTGCACTTTTGAAGTGCCGGTCACAGGTGGGTAAGCAACACCAGTTAGCGCTGCAAAATCGTTTTGCTGACTTCTGATGAACCTACCGTAACCTCCTGATGGAACTACCGTATACTTCTTGTTGAAGGTGTGTGTTAGTCTAAAATTATAAAGGATAAAGAGAAAAAAAAAGAAAAAAAGATTGGAAAAAGTACAATGAAGCACTATCATGGCGGAGGAGATAAACAGCTGGCTTTAATTTAGGCTGAGGTTTCTGTGGAACAAACCAATTAGTCAAGGGAAAGCTAGTCCTAACTGCCCTCTCTGCCCTTCTATCAGGCTAGGAGGAAAACAATAGCAGGGATGTGCATTGTTCAATTTCTACATTTCGACACTTGCGCCCCCAAGTAACCACCTAAATGACTTTTTGGAGCATCCGCAAGGCCCCTATCCGGAAGAGGTTCAAAATGACATCCCAGAAGTCGAACTTATTCCTCCTGCTCAACAAAACAGCTTATGATTCTGATCAATGATTAAGGTTCGATAGTAATGACAGCTATGTAATTGAGTGGGATATTGAATTGTTAATGAGCCTTTCGTCAGCAAAGAAATCGGTTCTTTTTTCCGATGTGACCTCTTAGCCTGCACACTTGGTCTTCAACGTTACAATGAATGACTTTGTGGTATTTAAAGGACGATGGAGCTTATACCCTCACAATTGAGAACGCACACGGGTCCGATTCAATCGACATCAAGCTGCTGGTCACATCAGACAACGGACTCGATTTTCGAGCCATGCTCAAACACAGGTAACCAAGAAGTCCACTCCGGTAGTCCCTAAACGTCCTACTGTAGGATGCTATGTCTTTTACGTCCAATACACTTCAAAAGATCTGCTCAGTAGCGTTTTCGTTTCATTCAAGCAATTGCTTCTTTTCGGGCAGCCTTTTGGCGTTTTTATTAGCAACAGCACACAGTTGGTGCACACTTTTCGATTGCACCTTGCGAGTCTGTTTTCGCCTTTGCTCTTGCTTTTGCCTTTACATTGATCATTGATATTGCCAGTATTTCATTCTTCATTACATCACTTAGATACCCTCAAATACAACCTCGTTTAGTGCTAAGAAGAGAGCTTCCAAAGGCGGCAGGTGAGTTCCTCCTCGCAACTAACTCCCTCGCCTTTTAACCTGCATGGTCATATGAACCAAATACCCCCGATCGTGCCTCTCAGTTTTGAACCTATCTGTGCTACAAACGGTCCCCTTTCTGCTGCTTTTCAGAAGAGTCTTTCCTTTGTTGCGATTCTTTGCACAAAATGCACATGAAAATCTTCATCAAGTGGTTCCTAACGTAGAAATGAAACGTCGACATTTCAGGGACGCCGACCCAGCCGATAAGAAATCAGAAGAAGAGAAACCACCTATGACGGAAGCGGAGAGGAGGCAATCGCTGTTTCCAGGAAAAAAGGTCGAGAAGTGGGAACAGCCGCTTGCGGACAAGACCGTGCAGCAGCAGGTGATGAGCGTTTGCCAGCAACTCTCTCTAGACATAAAACAAAAAAGACCATAATGGAACCACCTGGGGCAGGTGCTAGACTCTGTGAATAGACCCTTTTCATTGGCAAAAGAATTGCCTGATAACGACTCCCTGTAGAAATTAGAAAAACCCTAACCGCGGAACGAACGCAGAAGCAGGTTTAGGTCTCAGAGCACTGGGTGGGTCGGAGTAGGGAGGTTAACCAGTTCAGACAAATTTTTCGCTATTCGTCCCGAGGAACGGGAATGTTCCCGCATACCATCCTGTAGGGTTATAACTTCTGAAACATCTTTTCATTTCATTCCAGCTCAAATCGAGTTTAGCCATTTTCTCAACAATTACCAGTTTAGGTCGACAAGTTTGCGGAATGGAAATGTGTATATTCCCGTCCAAATGCAAAAATTCGATGGTACAAAGACAGAAAGGAGATTTTCTCCGGAGGTGCTCACTCCAACGTTGTTACTTCATTAGGGAGAAGATAGTTTCAAACACCTTTACAGGGCTCAAATACAAAATCGTTATCGAGAAAGCGGTCTGCACGTTGATCATTAACAATCCCGAGGTCGATGACTCCGGCAAGTACACTTGTGAGGCAAATGGATTGCCTACCAGCGCTATACTTACAGTCCTTGGTTGGTCCATTCCGGAACTCTATTTATTTGAGTAGAGAGAGTATTGTGAATTGCAGAACCACCAATGAAGTACTCTTTCCTCAATCCGTTGCCTAATACGCAAGAAATATACCGAACTAAACAGGCAGTGCTTACCTGTAAGGTGAATTCACCACGGGCTCCTCTAGTCTGGTATCGAGGAGATAAACCCATAAACGAGTACGTTCTGTCCTGCTTAGTGGCTGGCTTTCTGTCGCCTTCTGGGAACCTAATAGGATGGTTTTGCAGAAATGATAAGCGATTCACGATTGAAAAGGATGCCGTTGGTCGCTGCACACTTACGATCAAGGAAGTGGAGCAGGATGATCAAGCTGAATGGACAGCTTTCATTACGAACGAAGTTTTTAGTAAAGTACAAGTATACGTAGAAGGTAAGCCGTCAAAACAACCCGTCAGCTCTCCTTTATCGAATGCGAATTCGCTGCAGAACCTCGACACACATTCGTCGTGCCCATGAAGTCGCAGAAGGTGAACGAGAATGATCCAGCCACCCTTGAGACAGACGTCAACGATCGAGACGCCGATGTAGAATGGTGGCATGACGGCGTGAAAATCAACATCGATGGCAAGAAGTATGTCACTTCAATGCCGTGGAGCTTGACCTGGAGCATCCGGAGATTCCTTTTTCAGGTACAAAGAAGAGCGCGTTAGTAGAAAGCGGCGGCTCATCATCCAACAGGCAAAGATTGAAGATCACGGGGAATACAGATGCACAACGAAAGACGATAAAACCATGGCACAACTAATTGTTGAACGTAAGGGCGTCTGTAGCTTGGCATTTTCTACGATTCAGGGCTAATGAGCAGTCTTTCAGCACTGAACAAGTTCATAGTACAGCTGAAAGATTTGGAAGTTATCGAGAAGGAAGATGTGGTGATGTCATGCCAAACGAAAGACACAAAGACTCCTGGACTGTGGAACCGCAACGGAATAAAGATTACCAGCATGCCTGGTAAGTTATTTGACGGCTTAGGGGTATCGGACTTTCTCTAGGAGATTATTTAACGCCCTATTCAGGAGGTAAATTCGAGACATCATCCCGAAATGGTACTCATACACTGAAGATCAGCAAAATCGAGATGAACGAGGGCGAAAACTACGAGATCGACGTCGCAGGTCTCATTGGAAAATGTTTCGTGACAGTGCTCGAAGCAGAGAAGCGGCCAGTAATCAACTGGAAACCAAAGAAAATCGAAGCGAAAGCCGGCGAACCATGTTCTGTAAAGGTAAGGCACGCATATGGCGAACTACTGTCTAGTGGTTTTATCGAAAGGCACTCGTTTAGATTCCCTTCCAAGTCAAGGGAGCGAAGCGTGGCGATCCGAAGGCAACAATCCTTCGGAATGGAAAGCCAATAGACGAGAAAATGAAGAAACTGATCGAAGTGGTGTTCAACGGCGACGTTGCCGAGATCATTTTCAAGGATCCACAGGTGCCACCTTTGAGAAGTTGTTGTTATTTCGTTCAAGTTTTGATTACATCCGCTTACAGTTGGCAGATACTGGCAAATGGGCGCTGGAGTTGAGTAACTCTGCAGGAGCCGCTGTTGCTCCATTTGAACTGTTCGTTAAGGACAAGCCGAAACCACCAAAGGGTCCACTTGAGGTGAAGAACGTCACAGCAGAAGGTGGGTGAGACGAAGAATTTGTGCCGTTTGCAAGCCCCACCTTACGGTTTGGTGGCAATGATTGTAGTGGGAGGTCTATTTATACTTTGTTGATGATTGATGCTTATTCCAGGTTTGGATCTGAAATGGGGTGCGCCGGAAGGGGACGAACGTCAACCGGTGAAAGCCTACATCGTCGAGGTGCAGGAGGGACGAAGTGGACAATGGAAAAAGTTGGCAGAGACCAAATCAACCGAGCTGAAGGTCGACTTTCTACGCTTGGACAATGTTGAAGTCAATGGAAATCAATCAGGCTAAATTGTAGGTGAAAGATCTGAAAGAGAACGGCGAATACAAATTCCGTGTCAAAGCTGTGAACGACGTCGGAGAGTCAGAACCTCTCACTGGAGAGACTGTCGTCGCTAAGAACCCGTTCAGTAAGTTACTTATCCACAAAAAGGGCTCATAAGAAGTTTTTTTGAAATATAGAACAGCCAAAGGAAGCATGGTACGAGTACATTATTGAGGGATGTTGGACACCAATTGAACCTGACTGTAAAATGTGCTTCGATTTGGAAATGTTTAGTTCCTAGTACTAGTCACCTCAGTCTCCCTGAGGCAAAGTCCGTGGTCACAGTTACGGAAGTTAATGTGTTTCTGATAACACAACTCGTTCGGATTCTAACCAGTTTTGCAGACTTAGCACTGACAGTTCGAGAACTCATTCTTTTATGTTTTTGTGTTTTGTTCTCATCTAACTAATAGGCTTAGAAAGAGTGTATGCCTGTGCATTGATATTCAGAAGTACCTGGCAAGCCGAGAAACATGGACGTAGCCGACATGGATAAAGATCACCTCACTCTTCAATGGGAGCCACCCGAAGAAGACGGCAATTCACCCATCATCGAATATATTGTTGAGAGACGAGAGAAATCTGAGAAAAACTGGAACACTGTCGGAACTGCTCCTGCTGATGGTCTGGGAGTGCACTACCTTACAGATAACAAGGTCGTCGAAGGCAAGGAGTACTACTACCGCGTAAGGGCTGTCAACAAAGCCGGCCCTGGTGACCCTTGCGATCATGGAAAGAGTTTCAAAATCAAGGCTATACCAGGTTTGGCATCTCTTTACTCCGTGTGCCTTTATTATCGGCCAATTTTTGTGTTTTTTTTTNTTTTTTTTTGTTCTGTAGTAAGGGGTCTGTAGTGATCTAGATGCTCTAACGACTGGCTTAACTCATCTCGCTAGAAGTTGTTTTTTGTTGAGTAGATTAGTAGATAGATTACACGTGCTGTTTGAACAGTGAACAGAATTCCCTTCGGAAATACCCCGTGTACCTTACACGGAAGCTGTCTGTCCCCCAAGCAATTTTCGTCTGATGTTACTAGAGCAATATGGGGTTTACAGATTCATTGCGGTATATTCAAAGGGGGAGGGGATAGAATATAGTTTCTACTGAGGAATAAAAAACACCTCCGACGAAGTGTTCTTAGTTGGGCTGATCCGTGAAATGTTGCAGTTGAGCCAGGCTTCCCCGGTGGAGGCATCAAAGATTTGCGCCTCAAAGTTGGTGAAACCATCAAATACGATGTGGATATTACTGGTGAACCACTTCCTGAAGTGGCATGGACTGTAAACGGCAAGCCGCTGAAGCCCATTGGACGCGTGAAGATGAGTACCGAAAGGGGCAAGACAAAACTGAAGGTGAATGCAAGGGATTTCTGCTCAGATTCCTGTAATCAATTGCCTATCACAGATCGAAAACGCGGAGCGATCCGACTCTGGGCAGTTCACTATCATCTTGAAGAATCAGTGTGGTGTTGCTGATAGCACCGCGAAAGTGACGGTGGTTGGAAGGCCATCTCCTCCGAAAGGACCGCTTGACATCTCGGATGTTTGTGGCGATGGATGTACTCTCGCTTGGGAACCACCTGAGGTCAGTTACATCAAGCAGGGACTCATTCCTAGTATTCCTCCTATTCAAAGTATTGATCTCTAACTTACTGGGAATATTGAGGACGTTAGACAGAAGCAGCGGTTCATTTCGAAGATCCTAAGTTGCCATGTTGATGCATTGTGAAACCCAATTCGGCCCGAATAGTTACAAGCATTTCAGATGTAGGCTCCTCCCAGGCTGAAGATCATTCAGGCATAAAATATGGCGCTTGAACCTTGAAATGACCATAATTCCCTAGCTACGGAAGTTGACGCAAATTATGATTTGCCATGAATCATCCAGCACTGGCCACCATTTCAGGATGACGGCGGTGATCCTCTCACTGGCTATGTGATCGAAGCTCAAGATATGGACAACAAGGGCAAGTACATTGAGGTGAGCATAGGACTGTCGCAATACTTCAGGGTTGTCTTTATTAAGAGCGAACTTCAAGATGTTTCTGATAATTCTTTGGTCTCTTGAAAGTAAGTGCTTCGAGGCCAGAGCTAAAATTGAGGTTGCGAAGAAATTCATCTGGTCCTGCTTTATTGTTTATCTCAAAAGCAACAGACCGGCTTGAATGAATCATTTTTCCGAATCATCCTTTCATATTTCTCATAGTTAGTCGCACTAGTCCACTGATCCACCTTCGCCTCCCGTTTAGACCAAAAACTAAGAGTTTCCGGGAGCTTCCTCCAAAAGCTCAAGTTAGACATCTGAACAAGCTCTAAGCAGGGAAGATAAGCTTGTCCATGTGTCCATGGTGTCCAGCTACGCAGCCGGCCTTTGTTATATGTTCTCGGAACCGATAGAGTTTTCAGGTTGGTCGTACCGACGGCAAAACCACAAGTATGAAAGTGAAAGGACTTCGAAATAAGGGCAACTACAAATTCAGGTAAAATCTTTAATCCTTTTCCCTGTAAGACTTTCAAAATCGGTGTCTTTAAGGATAAAAGCTGTTAACAATGAGGGTGAATCCGAACCGTTGACAGCCGATCAGTACACTTTGATCAAGGTAGTTCTTCCACCAATTTTCTTTTCCTTTATTCCTCTGTCTTCATATTCCTAGAAGATTTTGAAACCAACGTTCAGGACCCTTGGGATGAGCCTGGAAAACCTGGACGGCCAGAAGTCACTGATTATGATGCGGATCGCATAGATCTGGCCTGGACTCCCCCGACAAAAGATGGCGGTGCACCCATTGAGGGTTACATTGTTGAAGTTCGCGATCCAGACACCAAGGAATGGAAAGAAATCGCCAAAGTCCCAGGTCATCAATTTCCCATCCACATTGTTCCTCCTTCTGTTTTTGAACCCTCCAAAATGACCATTTCAGACACTAATGCCTCTATCAAAGGACTGAAAGAAGGGAAAGAATATCAGTTCCGAGTGAAGGCTTTCAATAAAGCCGGCGTAGGACACCCGTCCGATGCATCTGAGAAGCAGGTTGCCAAGCCGAAATTCAGTGAGTTTTGCTGGTCATACAGATACAGTTGAATTCTGGCTCACGCTCCTCCAGATGGGCAGTGCACAGCAGCAACATCTGTCTTGTGGCCCTTAGCAAAGTTCAACTACTCTCACAGCTTGTTTATGCTGAAAATCCATTTCGATCAGGCTTTTATGGTCTATTCTTTCAGTTCCTGCTTGGTTGAAACACGACTGCCTGAAGAGTATCACGGTGAAAGCCGGTCACTCTGTTCGTTGGGAAGTTAAAATTGGTGGAGAGCCTGTACCCGAGGTGGTATGGTCAAAAGAAGACAAACCAATTGAGCCGTCTCTCAATCTCAGCATCGACACCAAGAAGAACGATCACACCATTCTATGTATTCCATCGGCAGTCCGCGCCGATAGAGGAGAGTATAGGTACGTCGTTGCGTTGGTATGGGTCAGGAGATGGCAGCCGTGTGCAGTCTACTTCATATAGCGTGGCCAAGTGGGGTCCATTCATTCTAAAACTTGTGCAACGGTGAGGATCGTTGCATAACAGTCCACCGTTGTTACCTTTCAAGAACTTTTCTGAATATTTGGCAGCGGCTCTCCTTCGTTTAAATAGCATTTTCTCTCTACTTTCACTTGCACCCGATCTGATGCCGCCATATGCGGTATATGAGAGGAGGAGGGGCTAAAGTTTCATCATAAAGAATGAGTCGGAAACAATTTTTTGTGAACAATGCTTTTCACTACAGCGCAGCAACCGGCACCCGAATAGCACCTCCTGGCCCATCCTTTCTTGGATTAACATATATAGTTACAACTCATCCGTTTCATGTCTTCCAATGAGGAGATTTTGGATCCACTTCGAATATCTCTTTTAGCCTCAAACTTCAGGCTGTCCGTGAAAAATGCATATGGTTCCGATACAGAAGTGGCTAATTTGACTGTACTGGATCGACCATCAAAACCGAATGGTCCTCTGGAAGTGACAGATGTCTTTGAGGACAACTGCAATCTCGCGTGGAAACCTCCAGGCAAGTGATTGGTCTTATTTTGACAGAATGTTGTTTGTTGCTAAAAATTTCTCACATTGTCTTACTTCTTCTTCGTCTTTTTCTTCTCCCTAGCGTTAATTCCCCACCTTCACAGGGTCGGCTTACAGAATGTTGACCGGACACCTTACCCACGCCTTACATTCTAGAGTAATTGTGAATAAATACAGGGGAAAAGCGTAAGCAGTCTATCTCCTATGCATTTACAGCACCGAGTGGAGTGTGAGTACTCACGCGCCACCCAATGACTGTTTAGCTAGTTGTTTTACCATGCGGCATCCCATTCAATCATAACGTCCGCTAAACAATTCTCTGTTCCTTCTTGTCTTCAAGAACGAAACAGGTGAGTAGGTTGTTCGAGGAGGGTACAACCGACTCTTTTAATCGGGAGCAATGGCAATATCCTGGGTGGACCATCAAAATCCCTTGGTTTTTTTCAAATGCATCAACTTAATTTGGCTAAAACTGGGAGTGGAGCACTGACGAAAGAGGGGAAAAGAGAAGTCTATCCGCTTTCGGGCTCCACCCTGACGCCCAGCCTTCCCAACTAATTTTGAGAACTTGGATAAGCTGATTCAAAAATTCCTTAAAGCTCAGTTTTAATTATCCAGACAACTTTGCCGATGACCTAACTTACTTTCAATTTCTGATAATATTCTTTAGATGACGATGGAGGTGAGCCTATTGAGTATTATGAAGTCGAGAAATTGGATACAGACACGGGACGTTGGGTACCTTGTGCGAAGGTATCTTACAAGACTTTTTTTCTCGAAAAAAAAANAAAAAAAAACAAAAAGTAAGAAATGAAAACATTCAGGTAAAAGACACAAAAGCCCACATTGATGGTCTGAAAAAGGGCCAAAGCTACCACTTCAGAGTGAAAGCGGTGAATAAAGAGGGAGTATCTGATCCACTGGCTACAACTCAAGAGACTAAGGCGAAAAATCCATACGGTATGCAAAGTGGTTCTACATTTATATAAAAAATCGAATATTCTTTGGTTTAACACAGTGAAGCTTCAGACGCACCAGGAAAACCGCACACCCCAGAAATAACAGACTGGGATGCAGATAGGGTTTCTCTAGAATGGCAACCACCTGACTCTGATGGCGGAGCTCCTATTACCCAGTACATCATCGAGAAGAAAGGAAAACATGGACGTGAATGGCAGGAGTGTGGAAAGGTGAGTAGAATGCACACTTACTTAGTTGCAAGAACAACGTCGCTGGTTCAGGTTGGCGGAGACGAGACTGCGGCCACAATTTTGGGCCTGAAGGAAGGAGAAGAGTACCAGTTCCGAGTGATAGCCGTTAACAAAGCTGGTCCTGGAGAAGCATCTGATCCCAGCCGAAAAGTTGTTGCAAAACCCAGAAATCGTGAGTGCCTACCTTTCAATTTCTTCAGATGCCTAGTGACTACCTGATTTTTCAGAAAAACCATGGATTGACCGAGAAAAGATGAAGACGATGACAGTCAAAGTGGGACAAGATGTTGTATTCGACGTTCCTGTCCGTGGAGAGCCTCCACCAGAGAAAACGTGGATGTTTGCCGACAAGCCGGTTGACGATTCCAAAGTCAAGGTATGATTTGAACTCAGTTCGAGGTCTATTTCTTCCACTTGATCGCTTATTCACTTCAGATTGATAATGAAGACTACAACACCAAGTTTGTGCTACGAGGTGCCACTCGTGCCAACTCTGGAAAATACACACTCACAGCAAAGAATGCTAGCGGTATGGACACCCACACTGTTGAAGTCACGGTTCTTGGCAAACCAAGCGCTCCAGAAGGACCTCTAGAAGTCAGCAATGTGTTTGAGGACAAATGTGATCTGGAATGGAAGGTAAGTTGTCCGGAGGGCATCCATTTGGGTTGCCTGACGTTAACTATGTCTATGTTTAGCCACCGCTTGATGATGGTGGAATACCAATTGACCATTACGATATCGAAAGACTGGATGAAGCCACCGGAAGATGGGTACCATGTGGTCGTGCAGAAGGCACCAAAGCCACCGTCAACAACTTGCAGCCAGGACACCAGTATAAGGTGATTCGATGGTTATGCGATATTTTCTAGCTTCCTCTTGAGGTCATATTCAAAGGGTGCGCTTTCAGTTCCGCGTTCGCGCTGTCAATAAGGAAGGCGAGTCCGATCCGTTAGCAACTGATCAGTCAATCCTTGCTAAAAATCCTTACGAAGTTCCTGGAAAAATGGACAAGCCCAAAGTTACCGACTGGGATAAAGATCATGCTGATTTGGAATGGAAACCACCCGCAGACGACGGTGGTGCTCCCATTGAGGAATACGTGATTGAGCAAAAGGATAAGCATGGACGATGGGAACCGGTTAGAACATTGGTCTATCCTCCAAAAAAAGCTGCAATTCTTAACTGAACCCATGATATCTTCAGGTGATGACCGTTCCTGCAGAACAGACAACGGCTACAGTTCCAAATCTCAAGGAAGGCGAAGAGTATCAGTTCCGTGTCATTCCCAAGAATAAAGCCGGCTTTGGCGAACCTTCTGATCCTACTGATAAGATCATTGCCAAGACGCGATTCCGTAAGTGGATTCAAATTCGGGCTTATACATTCAAATGATGCTGTCGTGTGGGGGTTGGCAGCATCGAACGATAAGTTTTGAGCCATGCGCTTCTAGTATGTCGAAGATTTTCGCAGCCGCTTGGGACCATTCCACCNTTCTGTGCCAGCCTTCACCTCGGTTCACTCTCCTTGAGTAGTTCACGAGTTACTTTTGAATTCAGAACAGACCGGGAGTTTGGTTCCGACCCTAACTTTCATCCTTTGGGCTTAAGCAGTGCCCCCATTTTAGAATCTTCGATTGATTTGTTGAGTTTAGTGGCTCCTCACATCCACCGTGAAGATCTGGAAGATACAATAGTTCGTGTTGGTCAGCAGATTAAGTTCAACATCCACATTGATGGTGAACCTGCTCCAGACGTTCGATGGACATTCAATGATAAGAGCATTGGAGAGAGCAAGGTAAGCATTTCAGCCATAATCCTCAAGGAACAGGCTATAAATGATCACGTTTGCAGGCCCAAATTGAGAATGAGGATTACCTCTCCAAATTCAACATCCCCAAGGCAGTGCGCAAGCAGAGTGGCAAATACACCATCACAGCCACTAATGACAGTGGAACCGATTCTGTGACCATCACAATCAAAGTGAAAAGCAAGCCGTCGAAGCCAAAGGGACCTTTGGATGTGAAAGACGTTTTCGAAGATCGCGCCACGCTCAGCTGGAAGCCACCAGAGGACGATGGCGGCGAGCCAATTGAACATTACGAAATCGAAAAGATGAGCACCAAAGACGGCATCTGGGTGCCGTGTGGACGTACTGCTGACACTTCCTTCGTCGTTGACTCCCTCAATAAAGGAGATCATTACAAGTTCCGTGTCAAGGTAAGTTGATGGTAGTAATGCGGCATGATCTGATTCTTAACCATTTCTGATATAGGCCGTGAACAGCGAGGGTGCATCCGATCCACTTGAAAGTGATACGGATATACTGGCAAAGAATCCATTTGACCGCCCAGACAGACCTGGACGGCCTGAACCTACAGACTGGGATAGCGATCATGTTGATTTGAAATGGGATCCACCACTCAATGATGGCGGTGCTCCCATCGAAGAATACCAAATCGAGAAGCGTACCAAATACGGAAGGTAAGTCACTGTCTGGTGTCCCACCCCTTCCAATCATTGTGACCGAGCCGTTCAGATGGGAGCCAGCTATCACTGTTCCGGGCGGACAGACAACAGCGACTGTCCCTGATCTGACTGCAAATGAGGAATATGAGTTCCGTGTTATTGCCGTGAACAAGGGAGGCCCATCTGATCCCAGCGATGCCAGCAAACCAGTCATCGCCAAACCTCGTAATCGTGAGTGCCACACTTTTACATTACAGTCGTTGAAGGTATTGGTTCCTTCACGTCTGTTGCCTTCTAAAAATAGAAGAAAAAATTTTCAGTGGCTCCAAAGATCGACCGTGACGCACTAAAAGAGCTGAAGGTGAAAGCAGGACAAGCAATCGCATGGGATGTGCCTGTCGAAGGTGAACCTGCACCAACAGTAACCTGGAGTTGGCCAGATCATCGCGAGATCCGAAATGGAGGCCGAGTGAAATTGGACAATCCCGAATACCGCTCTAAACTGCACATTCGACAAATGGAACGAGGAGACAGTGGAATGTACACCATTCGGGCCGTAAACCCGAATGGAGAGGATGAAGCCGTTGTCAAAGTCACCGTAATAGGTAATAGTCAATCTATATCACAAACTTCTTCTGAAGAGTCATTCTGTTTCAGACAAGCCATCACCACCAAATGGACCACTTGATGTACACGACGTTTATGCCGACCACTGCTCTCTTGATTGGAAACCACCAGATGATGACGGAGGAATTCCTATTGAAAACTACGTGATTGAAAAACTCGATGTCGCCACTGGTCGATGGGTTCCTGCCGCTAAAGTGCCAGGAGATCAGACGACAGCCGTTGTTGACGGACTTATTCCTGGACACGAGTACAAGGTATTTTTGCACAGTATAGAAACCTAGAGACGCTACATTAGAATACTGCCTCGAATTAAAATGATTTAGAAGGAATATTGACCGTTTATTCCGATGAACCTCAAATGGGAACTTGTGGATGTCGATGAAATTTCCCACGGGTGCTAAAAAAACAAGGATTTGTCATTGTCTGATGGGAATGGTTATTAGTAATAAGGAAAGGATTCCAGAGGGGACCTTCAAGAACAACTGGAGCGAACTCGCTTTGAGTGCAATAGGACGAGGCAAACGGAAGGGGGTCACAGCCGCAGGCGATTCGGCTAGTCCCTTTTACCTCAAACTCACCAAACAGGTCATTTATCCCCTCGACGACTACTAGAGAGTAATTGCGTAGAGTAGTAATCAATAACATTGATTCCACCACGCAAAAAGCCCACACTCCGAACTGTTCACTAACCTAATGTTCCTTAATCCTGAATTGATCAATGAGATTTTAGTTCCGTGTGGCAGCAGTGAACGCCGAAGGAGAGTCTAGTCCGTTGGAAAGCTTCGGATCGACTCTTGCCAAAGATCCTTTCGACAAACCTGGAAAGACCAGCGCTCCAGAAGTGACAGACTGGGACAAGGACCATGCAGATTTGAAGTGGAATCCACCAATTAATGATGGCGGAGCTCCAATTGAGGGTTACGTTGTTGAGATGAAAGAGAAGAACTCTCCATTCTGGACGGAAGCACTGCAGGTAGGTTTGTTATCGTATTTAATGTTAACACTTCAAGCAAAACTGTTAGGTTCAGGTTCCTGGAGATCAGACTACTGCGACTGTACCAAACCTCAAAGAAGGCAATGAATATGAGTTCAGAATTCGCGCCAAGAACAAGGCTGGCACAGGAGATCCATCGGATCCTTCACAAACGATTATCGCAAAAGCTAGAAATGGTAACTTTTTCATAAATTCACTTGAGTGCTTTACCCTAGGATACTACCTCTGTTTAGTTCCTCCGAAAATCGACCGCAGTGCGTTAACGGAGATAAAGGTGAAGGCCGGAAGCGAGATCCACCTGAACGTTCCCGTGTCCGGCGAACCTCCACCAGAAATCACTTGGTCATTCGCAGATAAGCCACTGGAATCAGACGATCACGTCAAAATCAACAACGAGGATTACAAGGTAAGCATGAGAGAAATTTGCCTTTTGGGGCTCTCGCTCACCCAACGCCCACACAGGCTTTTCCTTTGCTTCAGACGAAATTCCTTGTGAAAAGAGCTCTACGATCTGATACGGGCACCTACGTAATTACTGCGACAAACGTCAATGGTACAGATACGGCTGAATTGAAAGTCACTGTGTTGGATCATCCAGGAGAACCACGTGGTCCACTTGATATAAGTAATGTCACGAAAGAAGGTTGTGATTTGGCTTGGAAGGAACCCGATGATGACGGAGGTACTGAAAGAAACCAAAACTCCTTTTCCTTGAATTTTGACTGACGAAATGCTTTCAGGAGCAGAAATCGACCACTACGTCATAGAAAAACAAGACGCCAATACTGGCAGATGGACGACGTGCGGTGAGAGCAAGGACACCAAATTCCATGTTGACGATCTGGTCCAAGGCCATGAATATAAGGTTCGCTTCGACTTATTCGTATCTCTCTAATTATCAACTAATTATGAGGATGGTGGTCTTGCCTTTTGATTGAAGTGCACTTCAAATTTTTCAGTTCCGCGTGAAGGCAGTGAATCGCTATGGCGAATCAGACCCATTGGAAGCCCCCAAGGCGATCGTAGCAAAAGATCCCTTCGATTGTGCCGACGCCCCAGGAGTCCCAGAAATTATCGATTGGGACAAGGATCATGCAGACCTGCAATGGACACCACCACTCGACGACGGAGGAGCTCCTGTTGAGGAGTACCTCATCGAAATGAAAGCTGGAAACGGTGAATGGGTACCCGCCAAGAAGGTGCCAGCTGATCAACTTACGACCACCGTCGACAATTTGAAGCCCGGCCAGACATATCAGTTCCGTGTGAAAGCCCTGAACAAAGCTGGAGAGTCTCGGCCATCCGATCCCAGCAAGGCCATGATTGCTAAGCCAAGGAATCTGCCACCAAAGATCAATCGTGACATGTTCAACGATCTCCGCATCAAAGCTGGTCAGACGATCAACTTCGACGTAAATGTAGAGGGAGAGCCAGCACCGAAGATCGAATGGTTCCTGAACGGCACACCAATCCAGTCGCTCGGAAAGGTCAAAATCGACAATTCAAACGATAACAACACCAAACTCGACATAAAAGACTCTGCCAGAGCCGACAGTGGCAAATACAAGATCGTGGCCACAAATGAGAATGGACGCGATGAAGCTGAGGTCACCGTGAATGTGCTTGGTGAGTACGCCTCCGCTTGAGGTTCTGCTTTAAGTGGCTGTTATAAATGATTTTCAGATATTCCTGGAGCTCCTGAAGGACCACTAGCAGTCAAGGATATCACGAAGGACAGCTGTACGTTGAAATGGCACCCACCTGAGGACGACGGTGGCTCTCCAATCACCAACTACATTGTTGAAAAGCAAGAGGATGATGGTCGATGGGTACCGGTAGGTTTCATCACTATCGCCTACACTTGAGTCTCTTGTGGGCAAGGAGTCCTATTCATTTCAGTGTGGTGAGACTGCCGATACGAACCTGAAAGTTGGAAAACTGAACGAAGGACACGAATACAAGTTCCGAGTCAAAGCTGTGAATAGACAGGGCGTTTCGGCACCTCTACAGACTGACCACGCCATCGTTGCGAAGAATCCGTATGACGAACCTGGTGCGCCCACAGATGTTACTCCTGTTGATTGGGACAAGGACCATGTGGACCTTGAGTGGAAGGTAACAATCTTTTGCCTTCACTAATGTGAGTTCCCTCAAATGTTAATGGTTTCAGGCTCCTGAGAACAATGGAGGAGCTCCTATTGAGCAGTATATTGTGGAAAAGAAAGACAAATACGGTGATTGGGTGCCATGTGCAACTGTGGATGGCAAGACCACAAAGGCCACAGCTGGTAACCTCGTCGCTGGCGAGACATATCAGTTCCGTGTGAAGGCTGTGAACAAAGCAGGACCTGGCAAACCTTCTGATCCTACAGGCCCCATCATTGCAAAACCGAGAAAGAGTGAGCAAACCTTTCAAATTTCCTTCTGTGATAGCTGCTCGGGTAAATAATTATGAATATTTAGTGGCGCCGAAGATCAGCCTGGCTGGTCTCCTCGATCTGCGCATAAAGGCCGGTACTCCACTGAAGTTGGAGGTAATGTTCGAGGGAGAACCATCACCTGCAGCCATCTGGCGTGCCAACGACACTGTACTGAATGACCTTCCTCGGGCGGAAGTTACCACCACTCCCACATCATCCGAATTGCAAATTTTCTCCAGTGTTAGAGGAGATACTGGTCTATACACCATAACTGTTGAAAATGAGCATGGCAAAGACAAGGCGCAATGCACGGTCACTGTGCTTGATGTGCCGAGCCCTCCAGAGGGACCTTTGAAGGTAAATGAAATCCACAAAGAAGGATGTACTTTGAACTGGAAGCCACCACTTGATAATGGAGGTAAGAAAAAATGCCTATTTTGATAACGAGAATCTGTAACGTATTCGTGGATTTTAGGTTCGGATATTCTCCACTATCGTGTGGAAAAGATGGATACATCGCGTGGAACCTGGCAAGAAGTTGGCGAATTCCCAGAATGCACGGCCAAAGTTGGAAAACTGGTACATATGAAGGAATATCAGTTCCGAGTGATGGCTGTAAATCTTCAAGGAGAATCGAAACCGCTCGAAACTACTGAACCGATCATCGCCAAAAACGAATTTGGTCAGTAATGTTATCACATATAATTGACTTGGGAAATGGGACAACCCAGATGCCCAGATGTTTTCAATTTCGTGGAAGTTTCTTTTTTGAAATTTCTCGGAAGGACCTTAACAATGCTCCCTGTTAATGATTTAATGGCCTCTAATTTTTTTGGTTCTTCCAGATGTTCCTGACCCTGTGGAGAAACCAGAAGTGGTGGACTGGGATAAGGACCGTATCGACATCCAGTGGAAACCTCCAGCAAACAACGGAGGAAGCCCTGTGAAATCTTATATCGTAGAGAAGAAGGAGAAAGGCAGTGCCATCTGGAGCGAAGCAGGCAAAACGTCCGGAACAAAGTTCTCGGCTAGCAATCTCAAGCCTGGTGTTGAATATGAGCTTCGTGTCATTGCTGTCAACGAAGCTGGTCCCTCAGATCCATCAGATCCGACCGACCCGCAGATTACCAAGCCTAGATACTGTGAGTTTGAGTAATGCGGTTCAATTGGATTAGGTCACTTTGAAACTGATTTCTTTGCTTACAGTGAAGCCGAAAATCCTCACGCAGAATCGAAAGATCAAGATCAAAGCCGGCTACACTCACACTATGGAAGTGGAGTTTGATGGAGCCCCAGACCCTACACCGACCTGGACCTTCAAGGAGGGACAGCCCTTGCCACCTGAACTCTTGATCGAGGGAAAACCTGGTCTCACTTCGATCTTCTTCCCGAGTGCTAAACGTTCCGACAGTGGATCGTACACGCTGAAGGTGAAAAACGAAGTGGGCGAAGATGAAGGGGTGTTTGAGGTCGTTGTGCAAGGTTAGTAGAGAAGTTCTGAACGAAGGGAATTTGCGAGATTATAATTACCATTTCAGACCGTCCGGCAGCCCCAGAAGGACCGCTTGAGGTCTCTGATGTGACTAAAGACAGCTGCGTGCTCAGCTGGAACCCACCGAAGGACGATGGTGGTGCTGAGATCACCAACTATGTGGTGGAAAAACGCGACACGAAGACTAACACATGGGTTCCTGTGTCGAACTTCGTCACTGGAACAAGAATTACAGTGCCAAAGTTGGTTGAGGGACATGAATACGAATTGAGAGTCATGGCTGAGAATGCCTTCGGACGATCAGATCCTTTGAATACCACAGAGCCAGTGCTCGCCAAGGATCCATTCGGAGTTCCTGGAAAGCCTAGCAAGGTAGGCGAGTAGATAGAAGGTTCACAGTACGAGTCATTGCACTTTCTCAATATTTACAGCCGGAAATCGTTGACACAGACAACGATCACATCGATATCAAATGGGAGCCACCTCGTGACAACGGCGGCTCTCCGATCGAGCACTATGATGTCGAAAGGAAGGATTTGAAGACCGGACGATGGGTCAAGGTCAGTTTGGTCACCTTATAGTTCCCAGTTATGGAACCTAAACAGAAGACTTTCAGGTCAACACCTCTCCCGTTCGTGGTACATCTTTCTCGGACAATCGTGTACAAAAAGGCCATACCTACGAATACCGTGTGGTGGCTGTGAACAAGAGTGGACCGGGTGCTCCTTCGGACCCCTCGGCTGCAGCTACAGCTAAACCTATGTACGAGTTACCAGGATTTGATTTGGACATCGATGGAAAAGAATTCCGAGTTAAAGCTGGTGAACCTTTGGATATTTTGATTCCTATGCATGGATCACCCACACCTGAAGTGAAATGGATCAAAGACGGCAAGGAAATGCCAGGAATCGAAACCACCGAAGACAAAACTCGTCTCTTCATCCAATCATCAAGGCGAAGTGATGGTGGTGCAGTGAAAATCAAAGCGACCAACAACCTTGGAGAAGCCGAAGCAAACATCAAAATCACTGTCATTGACAAACCCGGCGCTCCAGAGAACCTTACTTATGACGCCGTGACCAGACACACTTGCACTCTCAAATGGGTGCCTCCCAAAGACGACGGAGGTTCTGAAATCACCGGCTACAAGATCGAATACCAAGAAGTGGGGTCCCAAATATGGGAGAAAATTCCCGGTGCAGTTTCGGGCACCTCGTACACAGTTCGCGGACTGGAGCATGGTCAACAGTATCGGTTCCGCGTCCGTGCCGAAAATATGGCAGGCCTATCAGACTACGTCACTGGTGCCCCTGTCGTGATCAAAGACCCATTCAACCCACCTGGACCACCTTCAACACCGGAGGTAACCGGCTACGACTCGAATCTCGTATCGTTAGCCTGGAATCCACCCAAAGACGACGGCGGCTCTCCGATCCTCGGCTACGTTGTTGAACGATTCGAGAAGAAAGGCGGCGGTGACTGGGCTCCTATCAAGATGCCTCTTGTAAAGGGAACAGAAGTAACAATTCCAAACCTCCACGAGGGTGAAACGTACCAATTCCGCATAAGAGCAGTGAATGCTGCAGGTGAGGGAGAAGCCAGCAATGGATCTGAGCCGGTCACCTGCAGGCCATTTGTTGGTGCGTTGTCTTGGAGTGAACTTTGTTGAGTCCCTTTTCCTATACTTATTATTGAATTTTAGTGCCTCCCGGTGCACCAGATCAACCCAGAATTGGAAGCATCACCAGGAACTCTGCGGAAGTACTTTGGAGCCGACCCATGAAAGACGGAGGCGCTCCGATTGATGGCTACTACGTCGAGAAGAAGAAGATTGGCGATACGGACTGGAGCAGAGTCAACGCCAAGCCTCTGAAAGTGAGTGTGCATGGAATTCTTATTGAACTATTTTCAGTCAGCTACATTTCAGGGAACCTCCTTAGTTGTGGATGGACTAGGTGAAAAGGACGAGTACGAATTCCGAGTGATTGCTGTCAACTCGGCCGGTGAAGGAGAACCCTCGAAACCATCTGACCTTGTCGTGATCCAAGAACAACCAGGACGACCCATCTTCGACCTATCAAACCTCAAGGACATAACTGTCCGTGCTGGAGAGACAATTCAGATCAAAATTCCTTATTCTGGTGGAAATCCAAAACCGATCGTCGACCTGTTCAACGGATCGACACCGCTGTTTGAAAATGACCGCACCGTAATTGATGTGAACCCCGACTCAATAGTTATCACGACGACTGACTCGAAGAGAAGTGACGCCGGACCGTACAAGATTGTCCTTTCAAACCGATTGGGCAAGGACACCGCCAAGCTGAATGTGAACGTGCTTGATGTTCCTGGCAAGCCCACTGGACCAATACGTGCTACCGATATCCAGGGAGATGCAATGACCCTTCATTGGTCACCTCCGAAAGACAATGGAGGCGACGATGTTACTAACTACGTCGTTGAGAAGAGGACCCCTGGTGGAGAATGGGTCACTTGTGGACATCCCGTTGGAACGTCGCTTCGGGTGAGAAACCTGGACAAGAATCAACCCTACGAATTCCGCGTATCGGCGGAGAACCAGTACGGAGTCGGACAACCGCTTGAAACTGATGACATCATTGTCGCTAAAGATCCCTTCAGTGAGTTTTTTATTTGGCACAGACCCGTTTCTCTCGAAAGCTTACATTTTGAGGTCCACCTGGAGCCCCTGGCCAGCCTGAAGCAGTTGAAACATCTGAGGAGGCGATTGTTCTACAATGGACGCGTCCACTAAACGATGGCGGGGCACCTATTCAGGGCTATGTGATTGAAAAGCGAGAAGTAGGAACCAAGGAATGGACAAAAGCTGCTTACGGTACAGTGCCGGAAACCAAACATAGGGTAAATGATTACAATCGAAAAGATTGAATTACAACATCTGAAGGCCTACTTCCAGGTGACTGGACTTGTTCCCAAGAAGGAATACGAATTCCGAGTTTGTGCTACGAACGCTGCCGGAAATGGTGACTGGAGCGAAGCCAGCTTCCCTATTGCTGCTGAGAAATCACCGAAAAAGCCGATCATCGACATCACGATGCTTACACGGGATGTTATCGCTTTTGTTGGAGAAACTGCCAAGGTTAGATTAGATTCGCTGTGCCCTCTGAACTTTATCGGACCTCCTGAAGGGGAAAATCGCTAGCTTTGTCCTTTTGTTCGATTACAGCCTGACTTTGTCAATATAACTATTACTTTACAGATCCTCGTACCATACAGTGCATCTCCCATGCCTCGTATATCCTGGTCTAAGGGAGACCTGAAATTGGACGAACGTGACAAGAGAAACAAAGTCGACAGTAACGATTTCCTGACTGCCATGACAATTGACAAGTGCGAGCTCAGCGATTCTGGACTATACACCGTTACCGTACGTTATTCTTCTTTAGTTTCAGAAACCAAGTTTAAGAGTATCTGCTTCAGCTGGAGAACTCCATGGGCAAGGACAGTGCAACCGTCAAGCTGCGCGTGGTCAATCGTCCTTCTCCACCTGAGGGACCTCTCGAGATCACGGACATCGCCCCAGACTGCTGCACCCTGGCGTGGAAACCACCGAAGAGCGACGGCGGATCACCAATAACCAACTATATCGTCGAAAAGCTCTGCTTGAAGGGTGCTGATCCAAAATGGGAAAAAGTTTCATCGTTTGTGAGAAACACGACGTTTGTTGTACCAAGACTGCAGGCTGGAGAGCAGTACAAATTCCGCATTCGTGCTGAGAATCAGTTTGGGATCTCAGAACCGCTTGAGAATCCTGACCCAATCACTGCAAAATATCAGTTCAACGTACCTGCTCAACCAGAAGCACCCACCGTTCGTGACATGGACTCTAACTGGGCAGAGATCGAATGGGATACACCTGCCAACGGTGGTTCGAAGATTCTCGGCTATCAAGTGCAGTATCGTGAGGCATCGTCTGCCAAATGGATCAACGCCAGTACAGATCTCATACCTCAGAATTCAATGAGAATAAACAACCTCCGCGAAAACGGAGAATATGAATTCAGAGTACTGGCAAAGAACGCTGCCGGATTCTCGAAACCATCACCGCCATCAGAGAGGAAGAAACTACGAGCAAAATTCGGACCTCCTGGACCACCAAGTCAGGCAAATGCCCAGTCCATTGGTCGCAACCACGTAACCCTCACCTGGGTAGCTCCACTCGATGATGGAGGATCTCCAATCACCGGATATATTGTGGAACAACGTGAGTACGGTAGCACCGTATGGACGAAGGTTAGCGATTATAACATCCGCGATCCCGAGTTCACTGTGCCTGGTCTCAAGGAGTTCCACGATTACGAGTTCCGTATCATTGCAATCAATAAATACGGAAAAGGAGTACCATCCCTGCCAACAGGACCTATCAAGATTCAGGATTTGAATGGTTCTCGACCACAAATAGTCGTGAAGCCAGTAGACACTGCGCAACCGTACAACAGGAGAGCAGTCTTCGTCTGTGAGGCTGTTGGCCGCCCTGACCCCGTCTGTCGGTGGATCAGAAATGGCCGCGAGCTACCCGAAAGCAGCCGATACAGGTTCGAGGGACATGACGGTACATTCAAATTCACAATCAAAGAAGTCTGGGATATCGATGCTGGAGAGTACACCTGTGAAGTGTCGAACGTTTACGGTAGCGATTCTGCTACTGCAAAACTCATCGTTCAAGGTGAGTCTGACTTTTGGTATTCAGGGTTCTTTTTCAAAGTAAAAAATAAATTTGATTACTAAATCGGTACATTTCAGCTCCACCGATTATTGAAAAGGACGTACAGAATACCATTCTGCCAATGGGTGAGATGGTCCGTCTGAAGATATATTTCTCGGGTACACCTCCGTTCAATCACTCATTGACATTGAACAAGGAAGAAGTGGACGCTGACCATCCGACAATCCGTACTGTCGACTTCGACGATCACATCCTCATCACCATCCCATCACTTTCAACCCGTGAAGCTGGTCGATACGAATACACGATCAGCAATGACAGTGGTGTGGCTTCAACTGGGTTCTGGCTGAATGTCACCGGACTACCCGGTGCACCACAAGGACCTCTGCATTTCAGCAATGTTGGCCCACATCAGGTTACCCTGTCTTGGCGCCCACCAGTGAATGACGGAGGCTCAAAGATCACAAATTATGTTGTCGAAAAGAGGAACGTAGAGAAGGATGAGTGGACCGTTGTTGCCTCCAGTATTCGTGACCTGTCTTTCACAGTACAAGGCCTATTCGAAAACCACGAGTACGAGTTCCGAGTGAGTGCAGCTAATGAAAATGGTCAAGGTGTGCCACTCGTAGGCGAAAACCCAGTAGTGACTCGACTTCCGTTTGACCGCCCAGGACCGCCAACCGACTTGGAGGTTATGGAAGTTGGTGGAGACTTCTTGACGCTAACTTGGCATCGACCGCAATCTGATGGCGGAGGCCGTATTCGCGGTTACTATGTCGAGAAATGTGAGGATGACCAGGAAGTAGCGTGGGTGCGATGCAACCAGAACCCATCCCCAGGAAACTCCTTCAACGTTTCGAGCCTCATCGACGGAAGAAAGTACAGATTCCGTGTGTTCGCCGTCAACGACGCCGGCTTGTCTGATGCCGCTGAAATGTAAGTGTTCCTTACTATCTACTAGATCTATAACAATTGAAGTTTTTTTAGGGATCTGATGGAATTCAAGTCTGCAGGCGGTGGAACTCCTCCCGAAATCATTTCCCAGTTGTCGGACCAATCTGTTGAGCCAGGACGTGGTGCAACGTTTGAGTGTGAAATCACTGGTTCTCCACGACCTGAGTATAGTTGGTTCAAGGGCATGAAGGAACTAGTGGACACTTCGAGATTCACGATTCTCTCTAAGGGTGATAAGCAGATTCTCATGGTCAATCACGCGAACCCCGAAGATGCAGACGAGTACACTTGTCGCGCTACGAACAAATTCGGCACAAAGAGCACCAGAGCACAGTTGTTGCTAATGTCTAAACCGAGAGTGTTCTTGCCACCTCGCTACCATGGTGGGTATGAAGCTCAGAAGAGCGAGACGATCGAGTTGAAGATCCCCTACAAAGCCTTCCCACGAGCTGAATCTCGATGGACGAAGGACGGCGAACCGATCGAGAATGGTGGTCGTTACGAAATTACAACTGACGACAAGACCGCCACTCTGCGCATTTCCAACGCGACTCGAGATGATTACGGTCAATATCGAGTAACTGTTGAAAACTGTGTGGGACAAGACTCAACCACTGTGGGTGTCACCGTGGCCGATTGCCCAGAACCACCTCGATTCCCCATCGTTGAAAACGTGTTGGATGAGGCTGTGATTCTGTCATGGAAACCTCCAAATCTTGATGGTGGATCGCTAGTCACTCAGTACATTGTAGAAAGGAGAGATACCGCTGGAGGAGCGTGGGAACCATGTGCGAAGACACGCTTCGCCTGTGTTACCGTGGAGGGATGCCGTCCAAAGAAGACCTACCAATTCCGAATCAGTGCTGAGAACAAGCACGGTGTATCGCAACCTTGCGAGCCAACTGCTCCAGTGACTATTCCGGGAGATGACCGTATCCGACAAAGAGACTACGACGTTGACGATACTGGCAAGGTGATTCGTGGTAAAGGCCCAACTATGGCCAACTATGATGGCTACGTGATTGATGTGTGGAAGCAGTACTACCCTCAAGAAGTTGAGATCAAACACACTCCTGTGCTTGACCAATACGATATCCATGAAGAGATCGGAACGTGAGTTGTTATCATTTACTTTTACAAATGTGTTTGGAGTAATTGAGTACTTCAAGGGGTGCATTCGGCGTGGTACATCGCTGCACTGAGCGCGCAACTGGTAACACCTTTGCTGCCAAGTTCGTAAACACTCAGAACGAAGCCGATAAGGCAACCGTCCGTAAAGAGATCAACACCATGTCAGTGCTTCGACATCCCAAACTCATTAACTTACACGATGCATTCGAAGGTGACAAGGAAATGGTCATGATTTACGAGTTGTGAGTTTTTTTGTTTCTAATTTCCCTGGGACCTAAATTGGGACATTAGAGTTGTCTTAAGTAGGGGTGATTTCGCGTTTTCGTGAATTCTACCTAAACATCAACCTCCACCTAAACTTCAGAGAGCGAACGGGCGACTTACAAATAGTGGGGAGTATTAAGAGGTAGCAAAGCTCAAAAATCCAATTTTGCAGCATGTCTGGTGGCGAATTGTTCGAAAAAGTCGCCGATGATTCAAATCGAATGACTGAAGCCGAAGCAATCGAGTACACTCGCCAAGTGTGCAAGGCGTTGTGCCACATGCACGAGATGAACTATGTTCATTTGGATTTGAAGCCAGAAAATATCATGTTCACCACAAAGAAGAGCAACGAGTTGAAGTTGATCGACTTTGGCCTCGCCTCTTACCTGGACCCCAAGGAAAGCGTTAAGGTGATTCGTTCATTTTGACTACCCATTTCAGCTATCCATATCATAAGCGAGTTTAGAAAACACCGCTGGCCATGGCGCTTCAGTTTCCCCTTTTTGATACTTATCCGAAAATCACCTAGCCCAAATTGCAGGTCACGACGGGCACTGCGGAATTCGCAGCTCCTGAAGTAGCCAACGGAGAACCAGTCGGTTACTACACGGATATGTGGAGTGTCGGAGTACTGGCATACATCCTCCTGTCAGGGCTGTCACCATTCGCAGGTGAAAACGATGAAGAAACCCTAAAGAATGTGAAAAAGTGCGATTGGAACATGGACGACCCGATCTTCAGCCAAGTCTCTGACAATGCCAAAGACTTTGTTCGCAAGTTACTCGTTGCAGAACCAGGGTAAGTGGCTGATAAGGAAGGAAAGGTGAAACTTTTGCATTCTTCGTTAATGTCTCTTCTTCAGAAGTCGAATGACAATTCATGAGGCTCTGAATCATCCATGGTTGTCAAGCGGTGAAGTTGGTAAAGGTGATGTGATTCCAAGTAACCGATACCACTCCATTCGTGATTCGATTCGTCAGAAATACGTGAGTGTTCCTTTTCTATCCTTTTCCAGTTCCTTAAAACTCATTTGAAAGGAGATGTTTCAGGATGCTTGGCCAGAACCGGTGCCACCACTCGGTCGTATTTCCAACTTCAGTTCTCTTCGAAAACACCGTCCAACTGAGTACCACATTCACGATGCCTTCTTCGAGCGCTCTGAAGCTCAGCCACGGTTTATCATCAAGCCGTTCAGTACATCGGTGACTGAAGGGCAGAGTGCCAACTTCTACTGCCGAGTAATCGCCTCGTCAACACCAATTGTTACCTGGCATCACGACTCGACGGAACTGAAGCAAAGTGTGAAATACATGAAGAAGTACAACGGCAACGACTATGGTCTCACTATCAACAGGGTGAAAATGGACGACAAAGGCGAATACACAGTTCGTGCAAAGAACTCGTACGGGTCGAAAGAAGAAGTCGTATTCCTCACTGTCAACAAGAAGAGCGAAGAATTCAAGAGCAAACCATTGGAACCAATGCGAAAGGCGCCCTCACCACCGAAAGTCGAAGAGTTCAAGGAAAAAGATATTCCTCCGAACTTCTCGTTCCACCTTCGCCCACGCTTGATCCAAAAGAATCATCAATGCAAGCTGATTTGTACATTACAAGGAAACCCCCTCCCTACTGTGGAATGGTTCAAAAATGGAGTACCCGTCGATCAAGACCGCGTACAGACGACATTCCGAAGTGGCGTCTGCACATTGGAGATCTTCAACACGCGACTCGATGATGCTGGCACATACACCTGCAAGGCAACGAGTCCTCTTGGAGAGGCTGTTTCTGAGTGTGTCGTCACGGTGCAGACGAAAGGAGGAGAACCCATGCCTCGTGTCTCTTCATACCGCACCAAAAGGACATATGATTCGCTGACTGTTAACGAAGTTGAAAAGTCGAGATCGTACTCCGATTTCCGGACTGAATCGTCATCGTACTCTTCGTCTCGTTCCTCCTACAGCTCCAAATACGAGTCGAGTACGCGATCAGCAGCAGACGATCTCAAAATAAAAGTCTCCACTGAGCCACCAAACTTCGCTAGCAAACTCAAGGATGTTACTGTCGATCATGGAGAACCGGTCACGTTATCTTGTGAGGTCAGTACATTGCATTTATTATCCCCTTCCTTCGATTGAAAAAAGAGCGATAAGAGAGAGAGTGATGATTTTTAGGTGGAAGGAACCCCATCACCCCTGATCGAATGGCTACACAATGGTGAACGCGTGACAGATCCGCGATTAGCAACTTCCTTTTCTGGAGGGAAAGCGACGTTGACAATCTCCGAAGCGGGCGCCGACGACGTGGGAGAGTACGTTTGCAGGGCCAGCAACTCTGCTGGACAGGAATCATGCCGAGCTAACGTCACCGTGCGACCAGCTCAAAACGCACAAATTGAAAATGGACATGTAAATGGAACCGAAGAGGAGGGGTTACGGTAAGAATACCCTCCGATATACACTTAAAGAAGATGTAAAGTAAATAATGCGGAAAAGGAAACAAATGTACCCATTTATTTTGATGAAGAATGGTAAGTTGGAGTGAAGGAGACCTGAAGCGTTCCGNAAAGGAACGGGGAGGGGGAAGAAGTGGTTGGTTTTAGTTAGCGAACGATTGTTATTGAAGAAACAGCCCTCGAGCAAGATGTACGGAAATTATGAGAGGTGTAGTATGATTTCAAATAAAGATCGAGACATTAAGTCAAGGTACCCGAGGTAAGTATAGGATTGGAGCGGGTGTGTTGCGTTTCGTGCGATTCCGGGTGCGCGCGACGAATAGCGCGGCGAAATTCGATGCGATTTGGACGACTGCAACGTTTATCACTTGCGCCCAAATTCGAAGTAAGGTAGGTTAGTAGGATTGTCCGACCCTACTAAAAAACTCTACTTCAAGTTTGTGCCCCAATGATAGACGCCAGAGTGGTTTGAATCATCGCGAATTTCGCCGCGCAATTTGCCGCGCGCGCCCAGAATCGCACGAATCGCTCGTCCCCCGATTGGAGCAGGTTAAAAGGGTTCGAAGGGAACTTGAATTTTGTGATCGGTTAAGCGCGGGTCACTTTTATTGTTACCCAAATGCAACATGATCTACGAAGAAATGAGATGCCCCAGATTTCATTCCAACAGCGATGACTAAACAATATTCAAGTTAGTGAACCCCTGAGTAGGTCCAAGAGTCAGACCTGCGAGAAGTGAATTAATGTGTTGACGCAGACGATGTCGTATGAGAATTTTGTATTTTATACCAATACTTTCGAAACCCCATTTTCATCCTGAGCTCGGTTGACTAACAAGCTGCCTAAAATAAAACCACGACAGCTGGTTGCTCACAAATGGAGTGATAGGCAGCCTTATAGGTCGGGAAGGAAGCTGCAAACCTCGTTCAGGCCTTTACTTAAACGAACATATTAGGGTATAGCGATAGGTCAACAAGTAACAGCCCTTAGCGGTCTACATCTTATTGGCTTACTTTCCCTTACATTTCTTTCTCCTTCTATCCATTCGAGATCAGAAATAAAGCGAGAGTCTTGAAGGTGCTTTACTCCTTTTTGTAAGCCATTTTCGAGCCTAATCCCATTCATACGACCACCCTTGAAGAAGGAGCGTTCTGTAGGAGACTGCGACCACCGAGCTGGTACCCCTGCCGCTCCGAACGGGAAACGCGGTGACTCCTCCGTCTAGTTCTGTTCAACGAGAGGAAGCGCAGGCTCTGGAAAGATCGCTGCGAAGGTTCTACCACATAGAATTACGCAAATTAACTTTTTCGTGAGATATCGCATACTGTTACATGATAGTGGCTTGGGTCAGGGGGTTTTGAAACCCTTCTTTCGTTGAGAGGTACGAATGGGGAAGTACCTGTGTGCACCAGAGCAAGTAAGCACGGAAGGCCCAAGCAGGAGTGGCAAAAACGCTGAGTAACCCTGTTGACACATTTGACGAGGGCTACAATTTTGAAAACCTGATCGATCGCCAAGTTGTCAGAAGACTTGCAGTTTTCTAATCCAACGCTAGGTCTCCGCTCAGATATGTCAAGTACAGGAAAACGATTGCACTGGAAAAAGTGAATCGTCGTTTCTTGACACTGAATGAAATAATATTTGAACAGATCCGTTGCGGCTGTAGGTCGTTATGTATTCTGTACTGCGAAGGAGAAACACAAATATGCCTCCATGTTGAGAGAGTGATCAGTGATCAGTAACCTTTGCGAGTACTTCTGACAGACAATAGGATAGATGCTGAGGTTTAAAAAGTGGCTGGGATAATGAGATTGTAGAAGTGATTCTCAAGATGTGCAATGCCGGATTCCACTATCGGTGATGCTTCGCCTGTCTATCGCCATTTGCTAGAGCCAGAGTAGGTTGGAGGCGCAGTTTACGATAATCGTGGTGTGTTTAGTTTCAGACGATTAATGGAAGCGATAATCCATAATAGTACAAAAGTTTCGAAGAAAACGCGAAAATCGGCGTATTCTGAGATATACAAGGCTTCGAAAACGACTTAACATTAGGGGTTGTATAAGAGTATGACGAAAAAGTTGTATAGAAGAGGTATTTGTACGACCTGTTCAAATGTTCGTCCGTTACATACAACTGGTTGTAGTAAGCTGCGTGCGTGCAATGTGCGGGTCCCAGTGCGAATAGCGCCCTTCAACAGCTTTCACAATCCTTAAGAACTCGTTCGCATTGAGTTACACTTCTCTACGGAAATCGCGTCACGCTCGCTGCATCCGATAGCGCTATGAAGGGAAGGTGCGAATTCGATAGTAGCCACAACGGAAAAACCGCTGCTTGCCAAGGTACCGGCGCCCCATGAGCCGTATCGACAAAGCCCTGAACAACACAAGAAGAAAAAGGGGTCAGCCAGGCTCATCACCCCCAGATCAAACGAGCAAGCGAATGAAATAACGAGTAGAGAGGGGGCTCCACATTCTAATCGCTAGTGGCATGTACTGAACGAAATTGCACTGTTGTTCGTTGCTTTCATGGTTTACGATCTGCTAATATCGATTGTGACATTCGATGTGTGTTGAATGGTGCGAACGCGGCACGCCGTTCAGATCCCACGTCCCTTTTAAAAGCTGGCAGGTGACCCAGGTGCCCGGCTAAGATGCTCTTCAACGCTTGATCACGAACTACCTCCGAATCACAGTTCAAGTCAATCTTTGTAGAGCTTTCAGTCCATACTAAACCTACCTAAGTGCCGCAGATTGAATAGAAACGTTGTCCACGTTGGCGTATTTAATCAGCGAGAGTGTGGTCAGCTGTATATTTGAAATGGTAAAGTGCAGCACTGCTGTTGTTTACGGTTACGGTGGTGGGTCAGGAGACTCCGTCGCGGTCCCGTGCCATAATTATGACACCTTCCACGCACCACCTATGCTTATTAGACTAGGACTCCTGTCTTTAGGCTTTAGCACGGCAAGCAGATGACGCAGCTTCGGCGCGGTTACCGCAACGGCGCCTCCTAACCCATTCTTCCAAAGGTTCCGGCTGGAAATACTCTTTGCTCTGTAAGTGGTTGTGTCTATGGCTAATTCAAAAATTTATCCAAAATCGTGTTCAAGCTCACTAAATGCTGTCAAACAAGTTGTGGGGTACAAGAACGAATGATAGAGTAGAGAACTAGCGATTGTGCGAGACATGAAAAGCGGGACGCAAGGATAGGTCTAGTCAATTATTAAAACGAAGATTGGGAGGAAAACCAGGGCATCGTCAGGCTGCAATAATACTTGAACAAATCTTCAGAATTGTCCGACATCTTGCTGGCCAAATTGTGGACGAAGGCGCCTCCGTCAGTCTAGAAGCCTGTGCATCAGGGAAACCCGATCAATTGAGATGGACAAAGAATGGAGTGGAGGTAAAGAGATAGTCACTGTTACGGCCTAGATGCATAAATGTTGAACTGGTAACACATTACAGGTGAAAAGTGATAGCCGAACGGAAATAGTACAAGATGGCGAACGATATCGGCTAACCATCAGCAATGCGACGGCAGATGACTCCGGAACGTATCAACTGGAACTCGATTCCAAAGGATCGCAACTCACCTCTGTTGCATCACTCGTTGTTTCTGGTAAGATAGGCCACTTTTTTCCCAGTTCTGTTGCTAAGTGTAAGTCAGCGCTTGTGAGAAAAGATTTCGTTTCTATCTGTGGAAGTGCAGCCGCTCATGCCACATATAAACCAAACCACCGAACGGTACCAGGATACCCAGCTGATTTCGAGGTGACACCCCCAAAGGTCCGAGTAACGGCAAATCATGCAATAGTCCAAATTTCTTCCGGGGTTTTATAGGCTTCCATGGATTTTCATGCAAACGCATAGCGTATGCGGCTACCTCGTCCTCGCTTATTTAGTCATATAGTGACCGCACAGTCTGCCGCACACGACAAATACTTCTTTACGAGTTCCAATAGTCTGTTGCTGAGCCCATTGAAAGTTGAGTTAGGCGTTCGGCCTTAAAACCGCTTCCAAGCTGTTCCGTGCACACCTCATTTCAATGCTGCGCAGCCTGAAACAGGGAGATGAATCTCGATTTGGTCAACCGACAGCAATATCACGAAATCTCCTGATATGTTATGCGCATTCGCATCCAAGCGAGTACTGTGTAGGATCGGTTGTGTGTGATCGATTCGGATTCTGCTACATTCTTTCGCGCGCGGCGTCCCTCTCCCGCGACGCGACAATTTCGTTCCTACTGCACCACACCCACTTTTCTAATATTTCTATGGAAGCCACCAGGAAATTCCGAAGGAAATCTGTTTATAGTAAAATGTTTGGTAGATACTTTCTGCACAACCTAATTCATGAATATAGGCTCACTGCTACATTGACCAATGTTCACCGAATCCGCAATATTAACTTCAGTAGATCGATTGAATCACTACTCTTTCTACAATCCACCCTGTACTGGAAAGTTGCAAGGTGTTCAGCCATTATTTCAGGAAAACCTAATGAGCCGCCTGTCACGAAACTGCCTGCTTCGGTCAGCGTGTCATCAGGATCAGCTACAAAACTGGTTTTGGAAATGAAAGACTCCGAAGGCTATACCGTGCAATGGTTCAAGGGTGCCGAAAAGGTCGAGAAATCTGATCGGCTGAAATCCGTCAAGAGTGGCGACACTTTCAAACTTGACTTCAAGGTGGGTAATCTCCATTACAACTGCTCTACGAAACTTTCTTCATCCTAAGCCTATTCTGTTCAGAGTGTGGAGCCAACCGATGAAGGAGTGTATGTAGCGAAAGTCGTCAAGGATAAGAAAGCAGTGGCCAAGTACTCCGCTGCCATCCGAGTAGAGCCATAGAACTTCGCTAGCTACCAACCTACATATTCTATTCACACATACTGCATTCTACAGGCATAATCACAATCAGAGCTGACGTTACGACACCGTTGTGCAGTTACGACTGCGATTTCTGCTTTACCCTTACCCATTTCCTCATGCTCAAATTTTCGCGCTCGCCTTTCTGCATCATTAATGGCCCGGGACACCATGATATGATGCGGAGGGCGATCTGCACGCTCACTATGTACGGTATGATGTTGTCCAGGTTCGGGACAGCCTGGTACTTCTTCATGGACCGACCGTAATGAGCTAGCAGCAATGTTACCCTCGTAGCGAAATCTCCGGGACAAATCGACTTTCGCCACTTTTTTCTCATATTCTCCGGTGTTCATTTCCAATTTCATGTTTTTAGTGTATGTATTTCAATGCTAGAAACATCTATCAAAATAAGTGCTCTGTACCCGTGTTCTTCTCTTACTTTCGACGTTCAGCTGCCTTAAGCGCCAGGAGGGGAACTCTACGTCTTTTACTGCGTCTCCTATGTATTTTAATTGACGTTGTCGATTATGGCACGGCGGCTGAGTTTGAGGAGTCTCTCCGCTGTGCTTCATGTTAGTATCACGCCTATATTTTGAACATAACACATTGTCACATGTTTGTAAATGTTTATTATGAATAAATTTATAAATAATGGACGAGGACAAAATCGCTTCCGACGAGATTTAATCAATACCGCATGTGGTTGATTAGAAAGTTTCTACCAAGCTACGCAGGATGCACAGATCTGTGGATTATCACGCTAAAACATATATCACCAGCATTGAAAAGCAACCTAACTGTAAAAAAACAACAACCTTCAAATGTATCCATTAAACAAGAAGTGTAGAACGACTAAACTAGATGTATTTTATCGCAAAACGAAAAGCAATCAAAAACTAACCGAAGAGGAACGGTTTGCTAACATGACAAACTTGGCGCAAAACTGTGAAACATGATATATGGAAAAAATGAAAAAGCTACACAAAATTTACAGTTGCGAGATGCATGGTGACAAATCAGCGCTGACTCTTCGAGTGCTGAATCAGCCATTGGAGTGTAATATCTGAAAAGAATAAAAAGAGCTATCTGAAAATTGAATGGTCAACAAATAGCTTCGGTCGACTTTTGATCACTAATCCTATCCTGCATAGATACCAAGGAAAAATTACTACCAAATCGAACTCGTAGCTTTCGCCTATCACCCTACCCGAGACCAATTCGTATTCGTGAAAGGGAATCCTATGTTACAGTCATGTATTTTACTGGTTCAATGGTTTTGATTTCCACAAACCTATATTTTCCTTCTCTTTACAAGAAATTGAATAGCAGCAAATCTCGCGATTCTGGATAGCGGAAAGATTCCTGCAAAAATAAAGAGCCGGTGATGTTCAGTATGTAAAAATCCACAATGACAGTTGCAAATTTGAACGATGATACAAGATTTCCCTCATCTAAACAGACCCCATTATAGACCCTATGATATAAATATAAATAAATACGTTCAAGCTGGTTTAATCTATTCAACTGAGAGTTCCATAACGCATTTTCCTCCTGATATTCTTATTTTACTTACGATGTACGTGTGAATGCTTTGGCTTGAATACCGTTAAAGAGGCGGGGGTAAGTCAGGTCTTCATAATGTAAGTGATAAAGAAAGGGTGTCCGGAAAGTATGAATGCATTCTTTCCAAGGCCTAAGTTTTACCCACATCTCACCAAACCTGTGGGTCCCTATTCTGCATCATGACGTTCAGTTCGGTGAGATATTAGCACAATAAGAGCTCATAAAGTGTTAAGACACTCAACTACAGCTCAGTACATCAATTAATCGTTTCATGTGCCTCGAATGGCTTTTGCTGAAGAAAGTTTTGACTGAAGTATAGAGTAATGTTTCTGTGCTTACATGCGTTCAATAAGTTGCCGTTCATCTAGAGCACCGGGAAGATCTTTCTTGTTTCCAAGCACAAGGACGGGGATTGCATCCAACTGCGCTTTATCGAGCAGCTGCATCAGTTCATTGCGTGATGCCTGAAAAATGTTGTGACATCTTGCATGTATCTGTCAATTCGAGTTCCTCTAGATAATCACTTCTTGACACGCCTTAATAAACTGAACGATGATCTTAGATAAATTAATTTCATGCTAAACCATCGTTTACAAACTGGAGAATCGAACAAATGCCATCCATGAAAATACGTCTGTTGCAATTCACGCTACCTTTTTGTTTTTGTAACTTACGCAGGAATGCACTACCTACTGCAGTTAAGTTAACAACAAAACGAGAAACCCGACCTCTGAAAGGACTAAATTTCTCTGCGCAAAACAATGTGAATTTAATTCGCCAACAAAACAAGACTCAAGCGAAAAGCACACCATTCACCCCAGTCTCCGGATCCATGCCTAGTTTCAGATCTAAACAGCAACATTCAAGACTATTTCAGATATTCTGGGAATTTATGATAAAATCACTTCAGTATTATCTACCTTCTACACTTTGGAATCTTTAGGCCCATTAAACCAGTCCTTAACCCTTACTCGGGATTCTATTTTGGCAGCAATCGATAACTATTTCCCTGGCTGCATGACACATGCATAACATTTTCCCACAAAACGAGCTCATGTTCCAGAAATCATAAAGCAAACATGATTCAGAGCGATTTCTGATGATTAAAAGAATAAAAACTAAATAAAATACCTCCAATTTGTCCTCATCAGCAGCGTCAACCATAAAAACAATTGCGTTCACTCCACGGCAGTATCGCTCCCACATAGATCGGAATCGGGGTTGACCACCGATATCCCATAACTAAAAAATTCCAGTACACTATTCGCTAAACTAGTCAATATGTATGTGGGGATGAGGTGTGTGTGCGAGGTGTATATTTGACCAAAAAATCGTGACATCCAATGCACTCAACCTAGACCACCCAAGTTCGGAGGAGGCACAGGCGACGGAGGTAGTGACTGACAATGGGTGGAAGAAAATGATAATAACTGATGAGCGGTGCCAGAAGAATTTCTTAACCAATTATGCTTTTAACAGTGATTTTTTGACACCTGGCTCTCCAACGGGAAGGCGGAGGGATGGTATGCTTGATGAAAAAAACCATCAAGAAATGGAACAATGGACTGTCAGAATGCATGAATATTCCGCTTTCCAACTGACAGTCTAAATTAGCTAGTCGTGGACATCTTTGTGAAAAGGCGGAATTGTAGATGGCCGCTGAAACTGCGTGAAAACGACTTTTAGGGCTAGTGATGAACCTACAAATTCAATCGTCTTTCCTATTTACGAAGCACTACCGATCCATCCTTAATTAATGTAGGTGCGAGTGACGATGTAATAGACAGTGGATGGCGGATTTGACAGCAATGGATAGAAGCTGATAAGGAAAAAAGAGACAAGAACCGCTGGATAGCTTGAAAATTGAGTACACTAAACTTCCTCAAATGGTGTGGAGCCCATCCCAGCCCAATCAACGTCAATGGAAAAATCTAGAGAATCTTAAAGAAAACCGTGTTTCCACACACTACCAAATGGACTTGTCAGTACCCAGGAGCACAACCTCTTTAACCGATCATCGTCGCTTGTATTGAATGACTTGCACTGTAAGATCTTCCCGTTGCTAAATGGATGCTTAGCTTGGCAGCAGGTTTACAGTGCTGGTAAGATAAAATTGACCTCGCATATGCTGCGTACATATTTTGTCGCTTGCAAGAGAAGAGGAGAGCCTCGCAGCAAAACTCGGGGGATCACAAAGTGTTCTAACAATCAGTTGACAACTCGGAATATGAGAACTAATAGGAATGTTTTAAAAATTTCATGCCGGGTCAAAACTGATTTCTACATCCAATCTTGCTAGCGAAAAAGAAAGCAATTTTTATTTGGCCTTGGCTTTCACCACCGTACCATGATTTCTGAACCACCCTCACCAATTGCCAGATAAAATGACAAATAGATCCAGAATCAAGGCAAAAAATTTCAATGAACATACCTTTATCGTAACATTTCCTTTAGTTATTTTCCTCATGTTGAACCCAACTGTGGGAATCATGTCCTCTGTGAATTGTCCACTCTTAAAGAAATCACAGTAACCCTTCATTCGACAAATCACTTCAGAGAAAATGTTGATTCATTTCCAACCTAATTTAATGCCATATTATTGGAAGCATGATTGGCAAAGGACTCAGAACTTGCATTCTTGTAATGGTTTCTGGGAAAAGCAACTGTGGCAAGCACCCAACAACTTCCTTTTTATTACCACTCGACAATTCTTCAACCCTATCCATCGTATCTGATCAAGCAGTGTACTTAAAATCACAGTTCACGATTATTCTGATGTATCCAGATTAGGCGAAATAAGGGAAGCTATGGTGAGGAGTGGGGCCAAAATTGCGAAGAAAACGAGAAACCATAACTATAAGGTTTCATAAGAAGTATTAAGTAAGAAGGTTGTACGAGATTACATGTCTGTAATCGTCTGGCGTCTCCCACATAAGCGTACTATCCGTGAGCATCCCTACGCTTCAAATGAATGTGTAGCCTTAAAAAGGCCGTCATAATACGCCCACTTCTAGGTGGTACGTCGGCCAAGACGGTTTCGGAGCCATTACAATGCAATTTCGAGGTCGTTTTTCAACCCAATAATATTTTGCTACTATCCTAGGGGGCCACAGATTAATCCAAAAAGTAAATCCCACAAACCATTACTATCGTGCCTGGACCTTTAAGAAGCTGTATTGATGTGTGCGTGAATCTGTCTGGCCGAACCCCTTTTTGGCGTTTAGTGTTTTCTGTGTATGACTGTGTAGGCATCAACTAGTTTCCAATAGAGGCAATGATGACTCATTGACACTCCATTATTGCAGTGTGAGGCTCATAGGTGTGTCAGTATACTTGAGGAAAGAAAAGGTATAGAATAATTCACTAACCGCAATCACATTAACGAATGTTGTTTTTCCGGAATTTTGTAATCCAACCAATGTTAACTCCATTTCTTCTTTCCAAAACAAACTTCGGAACCATTCTAACACCCGATTTATCATGGCAAACATTTTGGTTGAATGAAAATGACCAAGTTGAACAAGCCTGAACAATTCAATTCAAACAAAGCATGGAAACGATTTGAATTATGATGTACGCTTTCAACTATAACACCGAACAAAGTACGTACACAACGAAAAAAAGGAGCGAGGAATTGATGAATAAATTTCTGTCAGTGACGACAACTTGTGTAACCTGAACAGAGGGTTTCGAGTTACATAAAAGTGTCAACAAAAAAGCAATTGTTGTTCTACAGGCCGATAAAATTCGTATTGGGCGGTCATGAAATCGATTTTTCGGGGTCCAGAAAAGACGATGAGGGGCAGATTTGGGAAGAAAGTGATTAAGATTGAAAAAGCAAAGACCGTTCAGCTGCTTTGCCACTGCCCATTATTCTAATAAACGGATGCTTCAACAAACGAGAACGAAATTGAAGATGAAGAAGATTATTTGAATTTATGAGATACTTATGAAGAAGAAAACAAATTTTAAGATGGGAACATTGCAACTGGACTGAGTCTTCCGAACAGAACAGGAAAATTGCAAACCGCTTAATCATCACTTTTAATCTCGGGGTTCCAATTATATCTTGAAAAGCTCATCATCAGCCTTATTGCACGAAAAGGTTTCAATTGGACAACATTAAGCGACAATCGATACTTCCCATCTCGCTGCTTGGAATTCAATCAGACCTACTAACTACACTGCGAACGAGCTTCCACCAACTCAAAATGTCAGAAATCGGCAACTGGGCACTGATTGGGCGAAGGGATTCAACAGCATAACATAAAGTCCATTCCTAGCATAACAATGGTCAACATACCAAAAGTAATTTGTCATTTCTACAACATGAAGAGTTTAAAGGGCCGCTGTCAAAGTTCGATTAAACATTCGACGTCCCGACGCGATTACATGCACGCAGTGCATGCTGTAGAAGAGGAGCTCCCGTAAGCGAATTTTGCGCAGGACGTTCCTCTGCATGAGCGTTCAGCGGCAGCTGCGTGAGGATTGGGATAATAGAGAGTACGAACAGGTAAGTTTTAGAAATTCCTAGCTCTCAGGGTGGGGAAGGGATATTCGTTCTATTCAGATCATCGCAGACAACGTCAAAAACATCGCCAACTTCTTGTCTAGCTTTGGTTTGTTTTTCTTCTGGTCTCGTTTACTTGAATGGGCTCTCAACATTGAATGCGGTATTTAGCATAGTCTTTTTGGCTAAAAAGTCTCTTTTCCAGAGCTTTCCTGTCGAAGTAAGCTTGCTTCACTAAGTGACAAGCTCAATCTTCTCGAAAAGAAAGTTGAATTCCTAGAAGCGAGGGTTCGTAGGTTTTTGACTCTAAACTGTCATTTTTGCCGGCGGTCATTAGTTTGTACATGAATGATTGTTTTTCAAAGCAAATAATTAGTCAATGTTCTAGTTCCTCAACAATTAAACAGCGATCGATGCTTTTTTGCGATGGTACATGTATAAAAGTTGTATTCTTGTTCAGATTACCAGAGGAGACACCTTGACGTAAAATGTCAGCTACCGGAAAGGTTGTTCGAAGTGGTGCTAATGCAGTACGCCAGGTGGTCCCACTGCATTCAGTTAACAAAGGTCAAGCTCGTCGTGCTGTGCTTCAGGTGTACAAAGATCTGTGAGTTCCCTTGTCAACAGCTTTTCTGTACGAGTTTTTGAACAGCTCCCTTATGGAAAGGTACAAGTCAGGGGCTTTCTGATCCCCCCCCCCCCTTACAGATGATATTGATTCATGTTCCATTTGAAAGGTCGTCATTAGTGTGATAACTTTGGTTGTAGGGTGCTTTTTGAGTTTGCATACTATCCTTCTAGGCAACGCATGACTCCAAAGTTCTGGTGGGATTTCGGATTACATGACATGCCACTCGGTGTACTTCGTTCTAGTCTCAAGCAACAGTTCATGAAGAATGCTCATATCGACGACATTCGTATTGTTGATCGGCTCGTTGCAGAAACAAAGCAGGTTTGTGATCTCATCTTTGCTTCAGCAATTCAAATTTTATTCATTAAACCCAAATGAGCTGTCTAGGGGAAACTTTAATCGAGTGCACAGTTAAACAGCACTTTCTAAACAAGCTGTATCTTTCTGTGTATTTTTTTTTTACCTTCCGTTAAGGCGAATCTTCGGGTGCAAACTTATGTGTTCTTAATATTACACTACTTTGGTATGTGGTGTTTGTGCTGTGGTGACAGCATTGGCCTGAATTACTCAAGTTGTGAGTGTAAAAATCTCCGCGATCGAAGCCTTTCACTTGTTTTTACGCTTCTTTCCGCACTGTTTTGCCGAAGTTTGAGGAACGGACCCCTAAATTAACTTAGCATTCTTATAGATTACCGGGTCACCTGAATTAACTTGGCATTCTTAAAGATTACTGGATAATGCAAGCTGAAGCAAACTGTTTTGACGGGGCGATATTTTGCATTGATTTGTTATCATAACTTGCAATGAATACCAACAGATCTAACAATAAGATATTGATTGAACCGGCTCACTGTCCTCGTTGCTGTGTCCGTTTTTTTTCGACGTGTCGGGGTCGCAATTGACTGTATAATCAATCAATGGTGGATAAAGCTCCACTCGTTGAGACAGCTACATATCTCTTTACTTTAGCGGCGAAAGGTTATGAAAAAGAATCATGAATTCTGCTTACCACGTTTCATGCTATCTCTGCTGGATATCCTTAGATTTTACAGCTCTGTGTTGTACTTATAACAAAAAGTATGAGGACAAGCGAACTAATACTTAAAGTTTTCCGCCACAGAAATCGTAATCATCATTTGTTGACCTTAAATTCGGTCGTCTAACTACCTTTTCAAGGAATCGAGAGATTGCGCAAAAGTTCAAGAAATAATCCAGCATTGGGTAGAACCTGCGAATGGGTGTTCCTCATTTCAATGTTGAAGTTCTCCAAAAAACACTCTATACCGCTTTCGAATCGGACCCCATCGCCCGTGTAGCATTTTAGTTGCTCCTCGGCTCGTGCTCGGTATCGAGGCAAATAATACGAAGTTATTGAGCAAATACCACGTAAAAGTAAATGGTCTTCAGTGGACGAACGCTTAGATTGATGAAGTCAAGGATTATGATTAGTGTTGGCTACTGGGCTTTTGGCGAAGGAATTGTACGACACTATCAAGTTTTGATGCAAATGCAAAATTTCTGCCATTCCACCGTTTATTTCGAATATATCTGAAACATACCATCCAAACAGCACATAATCAATAACATGAAGGTAACCAGTTCGAAACCCAATTCTTTGTACCTCTCCGACCACGATCACTCTGATGAATCCTAGGTTTTATAATTTGATGTGGACTAGTCATATGAATTGAAATTTTCTGCACTTTTGCGCTTCGTGAGGCCACTTATTCCGAGATTTGGTTCGTTACTTCTTCACAGTTTAATCTGAATCGAGTTCGTTAGGCCACTCCAGAGATTACAAAATGACCATCAGTTTAAACCGGCCTCAATCTCTTTATTGACCTAAATACTAATGGAACGTTGCTTTGTTTATGGTTGCGGTTCGGTAGGGTGTAGCCATAAAGCCTTGTCCAACTTAATTTAGTTTCTATAATAGTTGTGCTCTTGCTGTTATCATATGATAGGGCGTGCTTTAATACTTCAACTTTTCAGCATATGGTCGCCATTGAACATGCCTTCTACAACCCTGATCACGTGCGCAACTACCTTTTCCGAGAAAATGTTCAAGCAAAACCAAAGGACTTCCTCTCGAAATTCCTTAATGGGCAGGAGTGAAATAGTTTCGTCGATTTTATATCCTTAGTGTATTAGACTATGATTGGCATATAAATTAGAAACAATAACATAAACCGGTACTTTGCTACATTGTTTTATTCACTTTCAATATGGATGACACCCATTTTCTCAAGTTTTGTTGAAGGTTGTAATTTTTCATGGAGGTGTGGTTTTGAATCTTTCACCACTTGTCTAGAGTTTGTTTTAGCACTAATGTCATTGAGGCCATGGCAGCCACTGTTAACCAGGTGCTGGGTAGTAGCTCAGCGATATGCATCAACTTCACAAGTGACACCCAATGCCTCGTCACTTGACAGTGAAGAGGTTCGGACGTTCTCGCAGCTCTCGCCAGAGTGGCATGATGAGAACGGGCCTTTCAAAGCACTTCACTCTCTCAATAAGCTACGAGTTCCATGGATCCTTGGCAATATCAAAGAGGTTTGTATTGATGGAAATGAAATAACCAGTCCCGACCTTGAGAAATTTATTCTTTCAGAAAAAAGCATCGGTTGTTGACATCGGATGCGGTGGAGGTCTACTTTCAGTGCCTCTGGCTCGTGCTGGCTTGAACGTTACTGGAATTGATGCTACTGAGGACGCGGTAGGCGTGTAACTCATAACGTGTAGATGAGGAAAACGCGGGTGTGTCCTTTTGAGAAGTCATTTTGCAATATGTGGTAACTATATATACCCAAGAGTGATAAACAAGCTGTTGCAGCATGCACATCATTTTATAGTGGACAGGCGGTGTAGTGGATTGTGAGATGGGCTAGTGTTTTCATGAATGAGTGTGTACGGTTGGACCTCCTTGGTGGCAAGACTCTCCGGATTTTCGTTCCTTCAGGTTCACTTGTGAGATGATTGAATGCGAATAGGCGTTTCCTAAATATCCCCTGTAATATGCTCGATGTTCGACTGCTTCATGAAGTGTTTCTGTGCTCGTCCTTGTTTTTTATCCAATCCGTAGTATAGTAACTGTAAGTCAAAACAGCAAAGCAATCGAGGGAAAGGCGTTCTTGGCAAACGTCGAACGAGAACAACGTAAAAGGATCGTTTCGGAGGAATGGGGGTAATTCCTTTATTAAACCTCAAGGCGCTACAGAATTGAGCTTGAGCAGTATGATCTAACTGTCTAGGGGTGAGGTTTGAGGGTTCCCTTTGCGAGTGTTTCCCCAGCTGAAGGTTATATTTAGTAAATGACTACACAATTATGAATGCTGCTGAGGTAGCGTTTGAAGACGAGAGAGAGGAGCTGATCCGATGCTGATGGAATGCATTTTCTCCCACTGAAACAGTCATTAACTGTGGTTCCTTTCGCTGAGAGAATTCTGCAGCGCAGAACGCCATAGATTAAGATCATCTGTTGAAAGGAGTATAGACGGTGAAGCGGGTGACGACTCGATCTTGAAAGGACTTGCGGTAGGAAGGATTTCAGTATATAGTGTCGGGTGTGCCTACCATTCGTCACCTGCTACTCTGTTTTCTCCAAGTCTTCACTCTTAGCAAAGACTAATATCTAGGAAGGTTACTTTCCCATTTGGTGATATTCGGATTGGGTCAATTCACCAAAAATGCAAAAGATCATTGGAACACGAATGGTAAAAGATCTTATTGAAAATTCAAGACTGTACCGAAGCGCCATGCTCCTATTGATGCTCCTGGTTCCATATGCTTGTTTTCGTCTTGTTTTTTGTCCGCTCAAATTTGTTTTTGAGTTCCGAAATTTTGTGAAGTCGGTGTTCGTGAAAGGGGGTTGAAAGCTACTCATGAGCTTGTTTCAAAGGGCGATGTTGTTTTGGAACACCAAATACCCTTGACAAGCAAAGTTGCATAGTGGGGTATTCTTGTTTCCGAATATGTGTTACTTGTTTGCTCATTAGTGTTGTCTAGGTGATTGCTGCTCGCTCTGCGCTTGAGTCAAAGCTCTTGAAGATTTCCGGCGTATCTGACCGCATCGTATATCATTGTGGAACAGTGGAGGAGTTCTCTAGGGACCATGAAAGGGGCAGGTTTGCATTTCCTTGGAGGGTAGTTCTTTTCCACGGTTTTGCAATTTCGTTTTTGTAATGAAAATATCGTTAACAGTCTGTTTAAGCTGTAATAGAAGGGAGTGTGTCTCATGCATGACATTTGTAGTTCGCCTTCTTTGTTGGACGTTCTATCATAATTCGCTCTTTATATGTCGAAATACCATTGTACGAGCTTTATTTGAACAAACGTGTGGGTCGTTGCATTGCGCTCGTCAGTCTGTTACTAACCACCATGTGAGATATATCAGTTTTGATCCAGATCCCCCTATTTCTGTTTATAAGAATATTTTTTGAGCACCATATGAATATATGTATACATATATTTATATGTGCATGTATACCCATGTAGATATATATGTGTATATCTACGTATACATCCTATGTATATGCACGCATTCAAGAGGACACGAACGATAGGCAAGCGTCAGTAGCTGACTCCTACTTTAGTAGCAGCTGGTTTGTGGCGGTTAGCGGCCCTCTCAGTTTCGAACGAAATTAAAGAAATTTCGCGTAATATCAAAACACATCTAAAGAGCTAGAAGGTGGTCCATTGACGAAATGGTTGTCTCGTTTTTTGTTTTGATTGTTTTGGTCCATCTGCAGCTGGACGAAATGAATGGGGATTCAGTCCATGAGAAGGATATGTCTCCAGCCAGCATTTTGGCATCCGGTCGATGCCTCATCTCCTTTTTGGGGCGCACCGAGTGCTGTTTAGCGCCGTATTGATCGCGCGCGTCGCATTTGTCGAAGTGTAGTTGGGTCAGTGTCCTCGTCTGCCAGTCAGTGTTCCTTCATCGATGACACATTCACAAGTCTTAGCTATGTGTTGCCAAAGTAGACTCTTTAATGGAAATTCTGTTGGACCACCTATATCTGTGCAGTTCACTTCATATGTTTGTGTGCGACTTTCGTGACGGCGGCCTCCATCGACGCAATCAATTCTCCTGTCCGCTTTTGTAGTAGTGGTCGTGCGTTCCTCACTCTCCAATCTCTCGCATGCGTACCCGCTGTTTTCCACGTGGCGTATAGAAGAGGATCAAAAACATCACTTGATATCACAACCTGACCCCATTTTTATAACTGTTCTTAGAATTGATTTAAATTTGACGCTGATTCAGAATTTGATGCTGTTGTTGCTTCGGAAATAGTGGAGCATGTCGCTGATCTTGATTCGTTCATCGAGGGTTGCGCTCGGTTGGCGAAGCCGGGTGCACCGTTGCTTTTCACAACAATTAACAAGACCCTGGCTAGTCGCATCCTGGCAATCTGGCTAGCGGAGGTAGTTTCTAATTCGTAATGTGTTGATTTCATAATCCATTAAGCTGTTCAAATTATCTTCATACATGTAGGATGTGCTGAAGATTGTCCCACAAGGAGTTCACCATTGGGAGAAATTCGTAGAACCCGGAACTCTTTCATCAATACTTGAACGTAATGGATGCAGCCTCAGGTATTACCACTTAATTAGTCTTCCGCATAATCTCTGAGCGGTAAAATATCGATCCATCTTTGCAGGTCGGTTTTTGGCTTCACTTACAATCCGGTAACGAACTCGTGGCATTGGATACCATTTGCATCTGTTAACTATGCCTTGCACGCTGTTAAGAATTGACGCCATAATGCTATTGAATAAATTTTGCACTCATCATTTTTGTTTTGAAAAATGTCGTTCGTACGACAGGAACGTTTCCCTATTTGAATATATGCATAATTCTGGTGCTACACAATATCTTACTGGCGAATTAGCATGATTAAAATTCAATTTTGAGCTCTACTTCCTGTAGCTGAAGATGGATGAGGAATACGACGCAATCGTTCTCGGAACGGGACTCAAGGTTCATAACATGCTTCGTGATGCGACTCTGAGTACTCAAAGTAATCTGTTCAGGAGTGTATCATCTCCGGGATGCTCTCTGTCTCGGGCAAAAAGGTTCTCCATATCGACCGAAACAACTACTATGGAGGAGAGTCGGCGTCGCTGACTCCTCTTGAGCAGCTGTACGAGAAATTCTTGGGTTTGTGTCCTACTCCGTTTTTTTTATATGATCAAAATATATTTTAGTACTACACGACATTTCGGTTCGAGCAGTGCCTTATTGCAGACAGCTGTTGAGATAGAACTGCAACGAATAGTTTCTGTTTTTTTAAGGGCCAAATGCGAAGCCGCCACCAGAGATGGGTCGTGGCCGGGACTGGAACGTAGACTTGATTCCAAAATTTCTGATGGCTAATGGTTCCTTAGTTAAACTTCTTATCCACACTGGCGTAACTCGATACCTCGAGTTTAAGTCTGTGGAGGGATCGTATGTTTACAAGGGCGGAAAAGTTAGTTGTCAGCGCTTTTTTTTTTCGGAATCGTATTTGAAAAGCTTTTTTTTCCAGCTTGACGTACTTCACTATTAAGGTTTACAAAGTGCCTGCTGACGAGATGGAAGCGTTAGCCACTAGTTTGATGGGAATGTTTGAGAAACGTCGTTTCAAAAAGTTCCTTTGTTGGGTCCAATCATTTGATAAGGTCAACAAGGATACGTGGCAAGGACTTGATCCCGACGTTCACACCATGCAACAGGTCATCATTTTTCTTTTTTGTATTCAATTTTAAAAATGGTCATTTGTTCATGTTAAGGTTTATGAAAAGTTCGGTCTCGACGATAACACTGCTGATTTCACCGGCCACGCCTTGGCGCTGTACCGGGACGATGAGTAAGGAATTCGATATAAAGCAACACCTTGTTTTGGACTAATAATCCTTATTGAAGCTACAAGCAACAGCCATTCGGACCAACTGTTGAGAAAATTCGTCTTTATTCTGACTCCTTGGCTCGCTACGGGAAGTCTCCATACCTTTATCCTTTGTACGGTCTTGGAGAACTACCTCAGGTTTGTTTATCAAGTCTGCGCTTCAGGATTTCCTCTCAATTGGGGATATACTTCTTTTAGGGCTTTGCTCGTTTATCAGCAATTTATGGAGGTACCTATATGCTAGATAAACCGGTAGACAACTTGATCATAGAAAACGGGAAGGTGGTGGGCGTCAAATGTGGAGAGGAGACCGTCCGTGGAAAGCAGGTACTGCTAGTGTTCACGGAAAAGCTTAGAAAGTCCGTGAATCATCTGTCTTCCATAGCTATCACAGTTAATTTTCAGGTTTACTGTGATCCGTCGTATGCGATGGATAAGGTGAAGAAGGTAGGACAAGTTGTACGTGCTATCTGCCTTCTGAATCACCCGATTCCTGGCACCAATGATGCTCAATCGTGTCAAATTATCATTCCGCAGAAGCAAGTTGGGAGACATTTCGGTATGTTTTTCTCTGTTTGGCGAAATCCTAAAAACCTGAACAATAATTAATGAAAACTCATTCCAGTATTTATAGTCTAGTCAAATTCATTCCAGTATTTATAGTCTAGTCTTTTAGACATTTATATCTCTTGCTGTTCTAATACCAATATGGTTACACCGAAAGGATGGTTTGTGGCCATGGTGTCTACAACAGTAGAGACGAACAATCCGGAAGCCGAGATTCTGCCGGGGCTACAACTTCTTGGCACTATAACTGAAAAGTAGGCTATAATCTACATCTTTGTGAATGAGTTTTTGCCAGCCATTTAATGCAGAATATCGTTAGAGTCTTGCTCGTTTAAAGATAGTGCAGCTAGTATTGATTTCTTTTTTTTTTTTTTGACAAATCTGACCATGCCTTTTTGAAGGTTCATCTCAGTATCCGACGTCTACGAGCCAACAGATATGGGACACGAGTCGCAGATTTTCATTTCCAGATCGTATGATCCTACAACACACTTCGAAACAACTTGCAAGGTACAATTTTCAGCATTCAAATATGTATATATGCATATATATATGTGTATATATTTATTTATTTATTTACGTCTCAATGATCCCTAGTTTTTGTGATTCCCATTGTTGATGCTTGTCAAATTTGTAATTTTAAACTAGTTCATAGAACATCTCCATATGAACTAGGTAAAAATTCACTGTGTTGCAGGACGTGCTAGACATTTTCCAACGAGGAACAACGCAAGAGTTCGATTTCTCAAAGATCACCCATCTCAGCCTTGAGGACAACGAGTAATGCATGCATAAGGTTTGTTATGGGGAGTAAGTATCATATGAAGCTTGTCAAGTTGGCGAAATCATTCAACATTCTTGGATAACTCTGTAGTGGACGACCTCGCCCTCACAGCAGGGTTTTCTATTATATATTTCTAAGTTGTTGTGGCCCAAACGTTCTCTTTGCATTGTGAATTGTCTCGGTTACATTTGAGCTGTTGTCACGCCTCCCAGTTGTGTTTGTTTCCTTTTTTATTTCCCTTTCCTCCGGTATTATAATTTTGAAATAACTTATTTTGTATAGACGGCTGTGCTGTCATTTCTCTATCGCTTCGCTGGTATCAGTAAAGTTGTGCATTAACATTTAATTTTGATTATTAGGAATGACAATACAGTACCGTTCTGTAATAGTAATATAGATGTTCAATGCTTGATCGGAAAAACAGACATGTACAAGCAGCACTTTATGGTTACTTCGGACGCCGTTAGGGTTGGTTGTGGTTATATTTAAGTTATTAGGTTCTGTAAATTTTGGCAGAGTTGGCTAATGACGAATTTTCTGAGTGAGGTGTGCAGGTGTAGAGGAATAGACCGACATGGGAAAGCAACCAGCCTTCCGTATGAGTGAAATACATACTTCCTTCATTGGTTACAACTTATCACATTCTTGAAGAGTTTTTCTTACTTGACCGAAATTATGCAGTAAAACGCTGTAGTTGAGAGTGTGAGATATAACTACCTTCTCACACTTGCCCCGCACTTACTCTGGAGTTCACTTCTGCGGTGTTTACGAAAGGTCTTTTGTACGGGACCAACGGCAACATTTGTTAGCTCAACGTTGGAGGGTGCGACTGTTGAAAAGTAAGGCAGAAAAAATTCTTCCGAAAGCGCAGAAGGAACTGGTACACATCGGTCTTTTCGTTGATCGCGCGGGGAGCATTTCGATCGTAATGGATCAACTTTACCACTTTCGGTTCTTGTCTCATTTTTGTACGCAGTCGGATTGCAATGTAATCGCATGTGAAACCTACGTTCCCAACCTTGTTAACGCCTCTAGAAAGTTTTTTTTTCGTTTTGGAATCAATCACAGTGGCCAGATGCATGGTATAGTACCAACCAGTGTGGTATGAACTCAACATTCCTCCCTTGTCAAGCGACAGATCCGGACATTTTTAAAGCTTAAAAGATTTTAGTGGGTCGGGTCACGTCAGGGTTATGTCGTTTCTCAATCAGCCTTATTAACTAGGACTGCAGTGCTCGACTATAGTGATCCTGTTATGAAGGTAAGGCTAACATCATAAAAACATGCTTAGATTTCAATCGCACAACTATCTGACGGGATTGAGAGATTTTTAAACTGACGGAATAGCAAGTTTTCACAACAGTCATCTGACCACGGGATCCATAACTTATTGAACTCATTTGGGAAAAGAACGTGTCCGTTAAGAGTATATTTGTTTGAAGGAGATGAATCCTGTTGTTGGTATTCTAAAGCATCCGACTGGTGCGGACTATCAGCGCTGAAATGATGAAAGGCTTGGTTCGTCCAGGAAGTGTCGAGTCGGAATTTGGTCCCTTGACTATATGAACGATAACGAGCCCCTTGAGACTGCACCACATACTTTTCAATTCCCATATAGTTTCTCAACTGTTACTCACACACTACAATTGAAGACTGCAAATCAATATTTGCATGTTAACTTCGTTCCGCTCAAGATCAGTGGCTCTGGTGCAAAGCATCTTCCTAACCTCTCCAGCACAGGCTTGTTGTGGATCATAGGAATATCGGTTTGAGGTTAGCTAAGCCTATACCTGAATGTGTAGCGAACGTAGGGGTGCTTTTGTATAAAGGCATATCTATTTACATGTTCATTTTACATACTAATTACAATAGAGAGAAGACAAAGGGGAGGGGGAGAGTACAGGGTGAGAGGGCATGAGTAGCCTCGACGAAGGGTAGTCGAATAGCCTGCCGGCTACGGTGACATCCGGGTTAACGACACCATAAGGCGGCTCCTTTTATACCACGGCTTGTAGATCAGATGATGAAACTTTGATAGATGGCATGACAAGGTGCGTCGGCGAGGCTGATGAAATCCTGGCGGCTGTCTCGAGCTGGCTCATGACTCAGCATAGCTGACGCATGACTCGATACGTATTTCAATGGACTACTCGCTACTCAGTAATAACGAATCCACAAAACCGATGATTCAATTTCACTTGAAAATTTCTTCAATTCGAACTATACTGGTCACAGGTCATTGACATTTCTCAAAATAACCTGGTCTGGTCATATGTGAACTTCGTAATTGTATATTCCCCAAGTGTTGCTGCACATCAAATTCTAAAACAGGCAGCCATAGCCCATCCAGATTGAGCCAGAAAATTTTGTTTTGTTCCTACTGCACCACACCCCCTTTGAAGCATTATAACGAGTCAGACAAGTACCGCCTAGATGGATTTGAAGGCCAAATATATGCCACAAGCTTCGATAACCTTCAGGAGTGACGCGGCAAGGTGTGAACTGGTGCAGAAGCACGTGCCGAATTCAGAGAAACTATGCGGCCAGTGTAGTGTCAAATAAGCGAGGATGAGGGATCCGGCTATGTTATACTTGTATACGCATGGAATTGGAGTGTCCTGTTTGTCAACTAATGAACGCTTCGACAACATTCGAGAGAAAAAGACTGAACTGCTGGAAAACTGAAGGTACTCTTCGTGGCACTTAATAAAAAGTTAGCACTACTCACTCACTACCACCTGATTCCATTCTAGTGGTACTGCATAGAGGTAGGTGGGACCGATTCGGACAGGCCTCTGCAATCTAGGGCCATAGCAGGCGCTTAAAAGGAGTAGGATTCATACGGCGACCTGTATTTCCAATGCACGATAAAATACGTGCCGCTGGGCCCTTGCACCTCCTCTTGCCATAAATGCGTCCGCCCTTGGACGTAACGAAAGTGAGAAGCAGTGGGCTACTTTTCGTCTTACTCTTTAGCGTCTGCCCCGCTTGTAGGCGGGGTCCGCTTTTCTGATTAGTTGGCCACTTCTCCCGATTAAGAGCTTGTTCGGGGTGGATGTTAACTAGGTCATCGTGCAACGTGTCGAGCCATCGCTGCCTTGGGCGTCCTCTAGGCCTCTTTCCGGACACCTCAAGGTTGATACCGATCTTACGGACACTGTCATCTTTCGCGCGGAGAACATGACCATACCATCGGAGACGGGCTTCGCGTATTTTATCAACAGTGGGGGTGGCATCGAATCGCTCCCAGATGACGTCATTACTTACACGGTCTAGTCGTGTTACTCCGGCTGTCCAGTGCAGCATCTTGGTCTCCATCACACTAAGACGGGCTTTAACTTTTTTGGTCGCAGCCCAGCGCCAGCGCCATAAATGGCGACCGGCCGGATGACGGTTCTATAGAACTTGGACTTAAGACGCTCGGGCATTTCTCATCGCAGAGCACGTCTGTCATCGAGCGCCACTTCAACCACGCTGCATTCACGCGAGAATTCGTTTCAAAAATCAGCTGCCGTCAGACGCAATTGCCGATCCAAGATACTTCAATGTTGCTGTCCGTGTTAGCTCACTACCATTGATCTCGATAGAGCCTGACTCGCCCAGATCGGTGGTCGAGTACACGGTCTTTTTGACGTTTAACCTAAGTCCGAACATAGCCAGACGGTCGGATCAGGTTAAACGTACTGCTCACCATCACGAAACTCGAATTTCTCATTAAGATCGGTATAATAAGCTACCTTCTCAGAAGCAACGGCTCTTCGCCTCATTCTTCGCTATCTGATAGTGCTGCCACTTGACAGCTGTTTTTTCGATAAGAAATGCGTGGTACTGCTTTTTCTTCTCATGGACTTTATCCTTGACATGACCGATCCACAGCCATGCTTGCTTGTCAAGCTTTCGCCGCCCAGGCTTGGTTATGCCGAGCTTTAGGTTATCGCTTCCGCAGCTCCCTTTCAAGTCTCGTCGACAGTCGTTACTGCTGGTAACAGAATGATAAAGACGACGGCCGCTTCTTTCTCCTTCAGTCGCCTCCACTTGATTCTCGCTGGCCTACACCTTTCTGCTAATTTCGGTTTCGGCGGTACGATCTTTTACGTACAAGTCAGTGGTCGGTGTTGTGTTGCGACCGTTTCATAGGGAACTGTCTTCG